TGGGCCACTCCGCACACATTCATTCGGTTTTACAGTCTTGACCTTCCTTCAGCACCTGGCACTCGTGCGCTCTCCTCTTAGTCGTGCCACTTTATTGCACACTGGGACAGGCGGGGTTTTCGGCACGGTTTAGTGGGTATCTCGTTCCCATAGTGTCATAACCGACGCAGTTCGAGTTCCCTCGAAGGGGAACGTCTCGGGTTACGTATGTAACCCTGGTTCCCCGAGAAGGGGAACGAGACACTGCCTCGGCCCGCCGCACCTCTCTCCCCGCCTGAAGCGCCTGCTTCATAGTTTAAGCTAATGATGAGTGTGTACAGGTGTGCTTTATACTCCTCCGGTTATTCTGTCACACCTTACCGTTCTAGCAACAAGCCAATAGGATTGGAGTGATTTCATTCACGTTCAGACCTGCTTCGCCTAGAGGCGTTCCCATAGTGTCGTAACCGACGCAGTGTCTCGTTCCCCTTCTCGGGGAACCAGGGTTACATACGTAACCCGAGACGTTTTTTCACTATAACTTGCACACAAAAGATATATAATACAATAAAGGAGAGGGAAAAATTCAACAATCATAAGACCTCTTTAAGAATAAAGAAACGTATCGTGTAGGGTAACTTTTCAAAATTGATGACAAGAACATGATCACAATATAACACATTATGCTTCACTTGTGGTTTTGAGAGAGGTTACTGGTAAAGCGAAATAATTGGTAGAAGAGAGTGATTATGAAAATAAATGAGAGGAGTAGGGCGAGTAAGAGAAATTCTTCCTATTTATTAGGATTTTAACCTTTTTGGCAGGTATTCCGTCCCTCTCATGTTCATCCATCTTCGAGTCCTTCCTCTTAGTTGTTGTTCTTAGTGCCGTTTTTTGTGACTGACAAGTGGTTACAGCTAATGTTCTACATTTTGCCATCTGCTTTACCCGAGGGGATTGTAGCAAACATATCAAATACGCCCAGCAGGGTTACTTTTATTTTATTTTTTTTAAATAAAGTAGATTTAAAGGAAAATATTTAAACTGGACGACAGTGGGAAACAATGGTCAAACACAGGAGCATAAAAACTGACATGTATGTTCTAGTCTGCACCAAAGTGGTAGATCAACCGATGGATGAAGGGACCAACAGGTATTGCAATCCTCAGAAAACAGTGTGGATTAAATCGTTGCTCTTTCTATTGTTCCAGTGGATCCTGTGGTGCCATCCTGCACAGAGGGACTTTATCTGCCCAAGTTTCTGCCTCCAACCCCAGCCAACAGAGCCCAGCTGTACGCCACTGTCAATCAGATCCTGAATATCAGCATCAAAGCAGAATCAAATAGCTCCACGTAAGTGAAAAATAAACCTTTATATGTTAAAATACCATGTTTTTTTAATCCACAAAGGTTTTCAGGTGCACAAGGAGTGTGTTCTGTAAATATTATGTTCTAGACCTGCTAAATTTGTGGGCATAGTGGTTTTGGAAATGCTTCTTTAACTTGCCATGCCCTTCGTTCTCATGTTTGTTAAAGAATTTCTGAGCTGCTGTTTAGTGGGCCATACAACACAATCCAGACTACATTGGGAGCTGGACAGTTCATCCTGAGTTGGACGCCGTCTGAAAACCAAAATGGAGAAAGCCACCCCATCTGTTTTGTTGTCCAGGCCGTTTCCAAGTCAGTCACTTTATCCATGAACATTACCCTAAAGCAAGATAATATGAAAACTGTAGAAGAAAAATAAAAACTTTAAACTGTGTTTCTTATGACAAAGGTCTGTCAGTCAATATTGCATATATCTAGGTATAATATAGTTGTTATAATAAAAGAAATAAAGGAGTTTTGGGAAGAAAGGGTTTCCTAAATTGGTGTAGTGGTGGTTATTATAGAAATCACTTAATACTTGAAAATCGTCAAGTGTGCTATGGGCGTAACAAAAAAAATACTTTACTGAGAACTGTATAGATCTATACTACATATTTGTAGATGTGTGTTTATAATAATATGTGTTGCCACTTGCATACAGTATATATATAGGGTGAGGAAAAAGTCCTCCTGGAGCAAGAAAGACTTTCTATGTTGAAAAATATGAAATTAATTTTGTAAATCAGCTACTGTATTGATTTATTTCCACAGTTCAGTCAAGTATCACTCAGAGTTACAATGTGTCATTGTGAGTGTTCGAAGTGGTAAGTAGAACACTTTCTTGCTTTTTCATGTTTTACAATCCATTCTTCAATTCCAGGAATATTAAGTTCACTTGTATCTTTTATATTCACTTCTGTTTACAGACTCAACAACTACCCCACCAACGACAGTAACCACCACTACGCCAACTACAACAACCACACCAACTACAACCACCATTCCCTCAACAACTACCCCTCCAACTACAATAACCACCACTACACCAACTACAACAACCATTCCCTCAACAACTACCCCTCCAACTATAATAACCACCACTACACCAACTATAACCACCATTCCCTCAACAACTACCCCTCCAACTACAATAACCACCACTACACCAACTACAACCACCATTCCCTCAACAACTACCCCTCCAACTACAATAACCACCACTACACCAACTACAACAACCATTCCCTCAACAACTACCCCTCCAACTATAATAACCACCACTACACCAACTATAACCACCATTCCCTCAACAACTACCCCTCCAACTACAATAACCACCACTACACCAACTACAACCACCATTCCCTCAACAACTACCCCTCCAACTACAATAACCACCACTACACCAACTACAACCACCATTCCCGCAACAACTACCCCTCCAACTACAATAACCACCACTACACCAACTACAACCACCATTCCCTCAACAACTACCCCTCCAACTACAATAACCACCACTACACCAACTACAACCACCATTCCCTCAACAACTACCCCTCCAACTACAATAACCACAACTACACCAACTACAACCACTATTCCCGCAACAACTACCCCTCCAACTACAATAACCACCACTACACCAACTACAACCACCATTCCCTCAACAACTACCCCGCTACACACAACAACCACTGCATCAGCTACAACAATGATATTATTATTACATCTAATGATATTGATATTTTTGTATGACTGAAACATGGTTAAAAGCAGTGCCTTGAACGAAACACCCCCTCCAGCGTTTTCTTATCCCCAGAAACCTCCTGGAAACCTGTTTCCTGTGGGGAATTGTCCTCTTTGAAAGCCTAATATTTTTGTTAACAAGTATCAGCCATCTTTATTTTTCTCAGTATATCAGCTTTTTTAAATCTAATGGCATTTTTACCTCTGCTTCTATGTCTGACCTGGTCAGACAGAGAAGTTGTATATATCTTAACCTTTAAAAAGACCTTTTTCCAAATTGAAATATACTTGGATCAATCTATTGTGTCCTCCTCTTGTTGTAACCTAGATGATGTGTTTAGACTCTTTAAGTAGATAACAAAGTAAAGCCTGTAATTGTGTGCATATCTAACCAGAAAAATTATTAAAGCTTGCATTAAAAGAAATGTCCACAGAGTTCTTGTGCTTTTTTCCCACTCATCTCAGGCAAGAGATAAAAATTCACACTCCTGGGGTGCCATGATGACTGAAGTGGATACTAACTATTGAGTGTGTGTGTGTGTGTGTGTGTGTGTGTGTGTGTGTGTGTGTGTGTGTGTGTGTGCGTGTGTGTGTGTGTGTGAGTGCACACATACTTACTGAATGTATATATATATTAGTTCGTGATTAATCGCATGATTTTCTGCGATTAAGTGTATTTCGCACTTTTAATTTAAATGTACTGCTATATACACAAAAGTGCGATAACATGTGGTTTGCAAACACTTTTACAAGTTACCATCCAGTTTTCTTGGGGGGGGGTGTCTGAACAGGTATCAGCAGAAACAATTTTCTTTTATCAGGGAGCAGCATAAACTATGTTCAGTAGCAAGTTTCCCTGTTGGAGTGATGTGAAGCGGGTTAGCACAAGGCATGAAACTGTCGCGGTTGTGCTCGCCTCACGCACACACCCGCCTGCAGCTGAAGTTGAATTTTCTTGAACTTTTTATACGCGACGCAGAGCACAAATCATTGGAAGAGAGACTGATCCTCGCTGCTTGTGAGTTTCCAGAATCTAAATAGTTATCAGGACATAACCAGGAGGGAATTCCCTGCAAAACTAGATATAGGCCTATCAGGTATAGTTATAGCATATAATTAATAAAGAAATATAAAAAAAAAACCTTTATTTTAACTTAAATAGGCTACAACCATCGGCGTTGCCAGGTCATTTTAGTCCCGGATGTTTTGAAGTAGCCCCGAATGTAACTCAGCAACAGCAACAAAAATATTTTCCATGTTAATATGCAATAATCTTCATGATGCAACCTGTCTTGCAGGTCTTCAAAGAGCGGAGGCTACTGGCAATAATATCGCTACATTTAGTTTACCGATACTCAGCCCGCCTGCGTTTAGAATGAGCACGAGAGAGAGAGAGAGAGAAATTCTGAATTCTGTTGTTGGTGAGAAGTAATATAGAAGAGAGAAGTATTTTTATTTTTTAACACACACACACACACACACACACACACGCTTACTGTTTTATTTATTTATTTTATTTTTAATTAATTTTAATTTTTTTAACACACACATGCTTACTGTTTTATTTATTTATTTTATTTTAATTTTTAATATATTTTTATTTTTTAACACACACGCTACCGTTTTATTTATTTATTTTATTTTAATTTTTAATATTTTTTTTATTTTTTTTAAAACAAACACAAATACGCTTTGATTACTTTAAGCTTTAATTACTTGTTTAATGAAATGTTTGGGGATGGAAATAGAACTGGTACAGATCAGAGAGCAGCTGGACCAACAACAGTCTACCTCTCCTACTGTCAATGACTTCCAGGCCAAGAAAGAACAGGACAATGTCAACTCACGCCTGACAGCTGAGTTTGAACAAACACACACAGGCAGGGGCTTACATTATCCTCCTCATGGACTCTAATGGAAAGTTCCTGGATGAAAAGACCTTATTCCCAAGGCACAGAACAGAGAAGATCTGGTGCCCCAACACCAGGAGAGCCCTGGAGCTGTTAACAGTGCCTGAGCTAGGCTCACCTAGCCACATCATCATCCATACAGGCACCAACGACCTAAGGTCCCAACAGGACAGACTGGCAGACTCCCTGAGGAGAGTCACTGAGCAAGCCTCCACCAATTTCCCTACCAGCAAGATAGTCATATCCACGCTGCTGCACAGGAGAGACCCCCACACCATTCACAGTGAGAGTGAATATCAGCCTCTCCAGGAACTGTGCCCTCAAACCCAACGTGTTCTTAGCCCACCACCCGACCCTCCACCTGAACTGCCTGTATGATAACATACATCTTCACAGAAATGCAGTCCCCACCCTTGCTAGGGCCCTGAAGGATGTTGCTCTTGGAAGGAGCCTTACTACCACTCCAAGGGGTAACCACACAACACAGACCCCACGCAGACCTCCAGGACCTCCTAGACCTTCAAGACCATCCAGACCTCCACCATGCATCCACCACAGGCTGGCAGAGAGGACAGCCAGGTCACCAAATCCACCGCGTCACCAACATCACAACCCACAGCCCACTTCACAGCCAACACAACACTGGCCTCTGATACTCAGCCAGAGAGCCCCCCAGCCTGGAGGTCCTATACCCCCCCTCATCCCAACAGCAGAACCACGACTACAGGAGCAGCAGCCTGTTGGGCTAAACTATGCTGTAGCGGTGAGAAGAGCCACAGCCCCGCCCCTAAACCTGCTCTGCTCTCGCCTCATATAGCTACAAGGTGGAAGAGCAGAGAACACTTGAAGACATCATAATAATTCATAGTTTAGCATGTTGGATATCATTTTAAAAGAATAGAAATATAATGACAATTCTTAACAGTATTTCACACATGAAACACTCGAAAATGTCACTCAAAGTTTAATATTTTATTCACTTACTTTATTACACTTTTTTTTCTTTTCATTTGTTACTAGTTTTATTTTTTAATATCTAGTTTACTATTATTATTATTTGTTTTTTAAGGTGTTTGTCTAATTTTTGAACAGATTACAATAACATGTTGGAACATTCAAGGTCTGAGATCATCAGCTTTTGGTTTAAAGAGCAGAAATCCAGATTTTAATTGAGAGTTAAAAGACTCTGACATCATAGTTTTACAGGAGATATGGTGCAGAGAAGATGTTTCCACTGGTTGTCCTCATGGCTACGTTGAGATTATTATACCAACAAAAAATCCCACAATAACTCAAGGCAGAGATTCAGCAGGCATGATTATATGGTGTAAATCAGAACTGAGCCAGTCCATCAAAGTTATTAAAAAAGAAGAATCTTATATATGGTTGAAAATTAACAAACAGATAATTTGTGCTGAGCAACATGTCTACATATGTGCCATCTATATACCTCCATCAGAATCCCCCTACTACAAGCCAGATATTTTCTCTATTCTTGAGGAGGATTATAAAACCATGGGAAATGTATTACTCTGTGGGGATTTGAAGGCTCAAACAGGGGAAAGAGCTGACACTATGAACATCCAGGGAGACAAACAGCTATCTGGAAGCACCTGCTTCCCCCTCCCTGAATGTCCTGCTAGAAAGAGCTTTGACAAGCTTACTAATACAAGCGGTATGCAGCTTTTACAGCTCTGCCGTACGCTGGGTCTGTACATAGTCAACGGCAGGCTACGAGGGGACTCTCTGGGTCGCTACACTTACAGCTCAGCTCTTGGCAGCAGTACGGTAGATTATTTCATTACAGATCTAGATCCAATGTCTCTCAGAGCTTTCACAGTCAGCCCCCTCACACCCCTCTCAGACCACAGCAAAATCACTATCTATCTGAAAAGGGCTGAGTCTGGGGCCCCTAGTGCCTGTGAACTGTTTAACAGCACATACCCATACAGATGGACCCCAGACAGCATGGGGGCTTACCAAAAGGCACTTGAAAATCAAAACATACATGATTTAACTAATTTATTTCTAACTGAAACATTTCCCCAGAATAACTCTGGTGTAAATTCTGCTGTGGACAAAATTAATTCAATACACACATTTAAGGTATTATCTATTTATTTTAATGTTTTATATATATATATATATATATTTAACACACACACATGCATACTGTTTTATTTATTTATTTTAATTTTTAATATATTTTAATTTTTCTAACACAAAAACACACGCTTTAATTACTTGTTTAATGAAATGTATGGGGTTGATTGTTCTTATGTAGTTTGTATGATGATTTGGCAATATTGTTGTTACACATTCATGCCAAAAAAGCTAATTTGATTTGAATTGAATTGAATTGAGAGAGAGACAACACTTCCACCTTGTGACTAAAAAGTGCCATTAGCTCTTGAATGCACACAATATCCATGTACAGGAAATAGTAGTTTCTGTTAAGAAAGTACACCAAGCTACAACTATTGTAGTCCAGTAAAACAGCCCTGGAATAAATGATATTTTCATGAAGCTAATAATGTCTTTTGTTTTTACTCTTAATCTCCAAAGTGACTGTTTCAAAAGAAAATTTTACTGTACAAAATTAGCCGTGATTTACTTCAGTACAAATGGTGGTGTGATGCATTATTTATAAAATGATTCTAATTCTTTGCACAATCTGGGAAATATACCTACACAATATTTTATTTCTGGAAGAAACCGAAATCAAATTAAACCAGGCACCAACCAGCATCACTGAAGACTGGACCACTAATCATTTTAACCACAAACTGTATAAGGTATGTCGGAACTGGTTCCAGCGTACTGTGTTCACGGATGTTCTGAACGTGGTTCACCATCACATCTCAGTTAGAGTGGAAGAAGCTGCATTCGAGTACAGATGTTTAATAATTGCCGGCCTCCACAGATTCAGGTCTTTTAAAGAAGAAAATGTAATTATAACAAAAGCCAAACTAAAACGGAACAACCATCAGCCCTGCCATAAGATCGACCTATACGAAGCTTATAATGCTCCTTCTCTGCTGATGTTCAGTCTGAGAGGTGTGATATGTATAATATAAATAATATGTATGTATAATGTGTCTTCTTAAGTTTTAGTGCGCTGAGCTTTCAGGACTTCCATATTAATGAGCTACTGGTTGACAATAACAAGCAGAGAAGCCACACACTTGTGGTGCCAATGCTCATAATTAAAAATTTACCAAAAGTTTTGATACAGTATGTAAGATCAGAGTAGCTACGACCTGATTGTGCAGCTGCTCTTGTCACTTCCTTGCCTCTTGCTTGGCCGAAGCCATGGCTGCTCCCTTTAGAAAACTAATTACACATCTACAAAATTCAGTACACATAGAAATATCACGTTATACACTGAAACACACATGAACACAGGAAGCACATGCAAACTCCACACAGAGAAGCCCATGGCTGGATTCAAACCTGCCTCATGAATTGAAATAAATGAATGAATTATTAGGATAGAATACTTTAACGCCCTGCTCCTGGCTATGTCTCCACTCCTAAATGCCTTCTCCTTTTCCAGCCTGAGCTGTCTGAACTTAGCTGTGAACCAGGGTTTGCCGTTGTTATACCTCACCCTGGTCCATGATGGTACACAGCTGTCCTCGTAGAAACTGATGTAGGATGTCACGGCATCAGTAAACACAACCAGACTGTTGGTGGCAGTCCTGAAAACATCCCAGTCAGCTCAGTCCAAACACACTTGAAGGTCCTCTACAGCTTCACTGGCCTCGAGAGTATCGTGAAATCTACAACCACAGCGACCCCTGCTGTTTCAACTTGAACACTTATTGCAAAGTTTGTGTTTAGAGTTAAACTATAAATATTTTGAAATGTTTTTGCTTTAGATTAGATTATTATTATGCAAAACACTTTCAGTTATTGTACCGCGACTCACAGCGCGAAATCGCATAGCTGGGTGGAGTTCACTCGCATTATCAGTTACACTTCACTGCATGAGAAAATCGATGTGGAGCGTGAGAGCATGTGAACATTGTCAACTGCATGATTGCTTGATTTAGAACAACAGCCGACAGAGCGTGTGTTAGCCACTGTAGCTTCTCCTACATGCTTGCAAAGGAGGGGTGACAGGTGGCTTAATGGGTTGAATTATGCTTTTGTAGAGCAGCAGCAGAAGGTGTGGTGCAACAGGGATTTGAGGTTACGGATGGCAGAGTCTTTGTTGGAAACGTTTGAAAGTATCTGTTGTGTGTTGATTAAATTTCACTTTATTGTCCAGAGTGAGTCCAAGGTATCTGAAGCACTCCACCCTTTCAACTGCTTCGTTATTGATGCGTGTAGGGTTGAGGGTGAGGTTTGGACTGTGCTGGAGTTGTTGGGTGTGTTGATTAACATTTCCTTTGTTTTTGCCACATTCAGCGGAACATAATTATTTGTACACCACTGCTTGAGGTGAGAGATGGAGTCTTGATAGCTTAAAACAGAGTTATTGTTATTGCGTCCACATAGCAGAGTATAAGTAACTTGTAATCAAATAACACAGTGAATACGAAAAAAAACATAATAACACAAGAGATAATGATTCACTATGCCTAATTATAATTTTTGTGCTTTTATGTAACTCACTGACCTGTAAAACAGGAGAAATGAACAACACTGGAAACTTCCAGTGCAGTTGGTCTTGACTGTCTTCACAGAATGGCAAGATTACGACAGCTACGTCATCAAAACAGTCGCCAACCGGCGGTAAGAAAGTGCTCTGCAGCCCCCTACTGTCTTAGTGGAGTACATATTCGTAATGCTAAAACATTGGAGTCCTCTGACTCATAACTGTTTCACACAGGCAGCCTCTGCATTCATTCATGGTAGATCACAAGAACATTGTAATTCTACATTTTGACGTATGTTTGACGTCAAATCAAATTTTTGACAGCTTGACAGCTTGACAGCTTTCCAGCTTGACAGACGTTGCCTCAAGGCATCTGTGTTACTAAAATGGTATTTTCTGGATTATATTACGTTTGCCCTTGCATTTTGTGATGCAGTGCCCTTTTCTGTTTCTACACCCACTAAAATCTAAATGATTCCTTCCGCATGTCAGAAAGCCAAATATATAAAGGGAGATATGTGGGAAGGAGAGGCTGTCTTTGGAAGTGGATGTACACTATGTTGCTTCCTCTGCTGCTGCTGCTGGTCTGCAGCGCCCAGGCTTCTCATTTTCATGGAACTGTGATGACTTACTACCCAAAAAACACTAACGCAGATGGATCCATGATGGTATGTACAGTTTCATTCTAATCCAATTTGTTCACATTTTGAAATTTGACAGTGTGACAAAAATGATAAATATTTCAATAAAATCATGATAAAAGCATTTCTGGGATGTGGGTAGTAATACAGTGGAAAGTTCAGTAAAGTCTGTTTCAGAAATCCTTGGGAGAAAAATTTGACACAAGGGATTATCAATATATCTTTTTAAAAATATTCCACACTAAAGGATTTAACATTTGTCCGTTGTTTTGTTCATTTTCTTTCCATGTGGTTCTTGTTGTTTGTGTATGGAACATGCCTGATGTGATAACAACCCTTAAAGTAGGCTCAACAAAATGATAATGATTTTATTTTTTAATTTTTTTTTATACCTGTCCTGCCCAGCAGTCTGGTATAGAGTATGAGGAGCTGGATACCATATTGTGCCAGACCAATTTCACTTTAACAAGAGAGTATTATACTTTATGTATTTAAATTTATTTGTCACCGAGCCGGACAGGGGACAGACATGGGGATGGGGGATAGAAACACCACAGAGACACAGAGAAAGGACAACACCTGCAAGAGAACGGGGATGGTGACTTGTGGCGGAGAAAAACAAACAAACAAAAAACAACAGACAGACACACTACCAAACAAAAACAAAGAGAGAATGATAATGATTTATAACAAGTCTTGTCTGTCAGCAGGATCACAAACAAATGCAAATATATGGCTTTAAAGCACCATCTTTTCCCAAGTTAGCACCCCAATAAACTGCCTTTTTGTACCACGGATGTTGTCATTAATGCCATAACACATCTTTATTGTAATACTACAGGTGGTCCTTCGGTATAAGGTGAACGGCCTCTATTGTTTTGATTTAAGTTTGGAATGTCAAAGCGGAAATTGTGGGACTGAGAGCTTAGTGCTGGATACTGTAGACACGGAAAGCAGTGGAGAGTGGTGTCAGAGAGAGGGAATCTCTGTTCGGCAGCTTCCCAGCAATGCTCCCTTTCGGCTTTGGTAAGTGCACCATGACAATGTAAAAAGTTTTTATTTTAATGAAAAGCGGTACAAATTGTTTGGCAGACAGAGGACACTACAGCTAACGTTTGCTCAACTAGTTTCTATAATAACTTAAGATCCAGATGTCTGATAAAATATGTAGTTAAAACAACCAAGTTAAGAAAAGTGAAACGTAAGAACTGTGTAAAAAATCTAATTATGACAGCTTCTGGCAGAAAGAGTCAGTGCTGCTGCTCGGTTGGCTTCATGCAAAACAGAGATTTATGTTAGGAGACAATATCTTGCAAGTTAGCTAAACACACCTACAATAGATGCATTCAGGTTCTTTGGAGCACAGTAAAAACAGACTTTCTCATGAACTTCCACTGAAGGTTAGATGGTGGTAACTGGTTAACTAATATAAATAACATCGTATCATGGAGAGCCCTGACTCTGGTTGAGCTGAGGAACCGTTCGGACACCAGCCAGGCCAATGGATCACCCCAGACCACCATACTGCCAGATGTGAGGTAAGCTTCCTCTATGTACGTGCTTCTAGCGTTTTATATACCTAATGTTTTTAAACACTTTTGTGTGTCACATTTTGAAATCACTATATCATTAGCACCTTCAGTACCTTACATAGATTTACTAACATCCCGAATAAAGAGTGCTAAATTGCGTGTGCATTCTAAAATATTGCAATTTTAGTACCTGTCATGATTTACTAAGAATTATTGCGTAGATGACAACATGAGCACACAATGGAGGTGGGAGTATTTAAATGAGGGTTTTGTGTGTGTATGTTGGAATGACCCAGACACGAGGAAATGCCAGCAGATCGTGCTTCATCCAGCCAGAGGGAACAATCACCGACCGTCCGCACAGTGCCCGGTCGCTCCGAGATCTCCTGTCCCTGTACACACCCTCTCCGATACCTACAATGGGTTGCGTCGCTATATTACGATCGGCGCGCTGTGAACAGTTGGTGATCGTTCCCTCTGGCTGGATGAATTTTACGCGTGATCCGTGCACTACTGCAGCTGGGGCCTCTCCGCAGCACCACGCAACTGTCTAAACTCTTCCATCTCACGGAGAAAAGATATCAGGTCGAAACGAAATTTGCTTTATTGGCATGAATTTTCATACAACAGTATTGCCAAAGCTAAAGGATAATAGCAAAAAAAAAAAAACTCTATTCATATTGTTCTTCGAATAAATAAAATAAAATTTATTATTTCTATATATTAGCTATACAATATTAATCTCAAATATTTTTAATTTCTCTACGTTTTCTTTCATTACGGCTGTGTCTCCTTCTGGCAACAATAACAGAAGCCATCTCTATGTTACACTTGGCGGTTTGCACCTTTCTGTCAAACGTAGCTATGAAATACAGAGGCTGTTGCACTCACATGAAATTGCGTTTAGGCTTGGTAGATTACATTGCGTGTAGTAAATAAATACATTTGCATGTTACGCCCCAAATTGCATATTCATTAAGGCAAAAGTACTAAAGGAACAACAGGTGCTTTTGAAAGACGTCACGCTGCGTGCACACCGTTAGTAGATCAGCTTACATGCTATAATTTGCTGGTGATATCAAGTTTACACACGTTTTTACTCATGCAAACCTTTAGTAAATCAGGCCTATAGTGTAATTATTTGCTGTAAACAACAAGGTCAGGTTTTAAATGATTTTTTTCATCTGAAAATGTTTGGGGATAAGTTTACTTTATCTTAGGACCGTATCCACCAAAGCGTTTATTTGTTTTTTTCAATTCATTGCAATGGGAGCGCCGCTTTTTTCCGAGCTGGTAAAAATGCCAGAAGCGTGACGAGGCACTGAGCGTCTTTTCCGCGCTGGGCGCTGAGCGCTCCTCGCTGTCACTTTTTACCCAGCCGTCCAATCACAGCGCAGGAGGGGCGGGACAAACACCACACCGAGCACATCTCATGAACCCGCGTACAGAGCAATTAAGCCTATACATACTTTGTGGTGACATTCTAAAAATTAAGTAGGCTACCCTAGTTGCAGCACATCGCCTCCATGGAAATTATGTATCATAGCAACCACAGCATCTCGAAAAAACACTGTGTCTCCAAAACGCACCCTAGCAGTACCCGGCTAGGCGTTTTCAGCTGGTAAAAAACACTTTGGTGGACACAGGCCCTTGAGTTCAACTCTGAATCTGCAACTCCAACATTTGAAATTCTAACTGATTTGTTTTATTTTATAGAGTTAAACATACATTTTTTAAAAATACACCAGACTAAGTGTCTTTTAAGTGTATAAGTGTAAAGTGTATTTAAAAAATACCTCTTTGTGGACAAGACAATCCAGAATTTAGTTTGGCACAGCTATGTTGGCTAACTGGCTCATGGAAACATGGAAACTAATGCAGTGGGTTGAACAATGCCAAAATTACCAATTTCTCTCTCTCTCTCTTTCTCTCGCTCTCAGAGTTCCTTCGAACTGTCATAGAGATTTCAACCTGTTGGCGTTTGACCCTGATGGAGATGAAGTTAAATGCAGATTCGCAAACACAGCACTGTCAGAGTGTTACGACTGCACGCTGCCATCTGTTCTCAACCTCACAACAGTAAGTCGTCAAAGTCCACAGTAACACTTCTTTAAGTCATTGTCACAACTTGATTTAAAAGTCTGTGACAAAAATGGAGACCACACATAATCTGTAAATAATGCTAAATGTTAGTAAATTAAGTAAGCATTGCAATAAGATTTCTGTGAGTGTGAAACACACACATCTGTTAGCAGGCATGGGGAAGAGAGCGAAGGAAACTTATAGGTCTGGGCCAGTATTTATCAAGCTTCTCAAAGTGTCATTTTAGTCTTAAGTGCTGAGAATTCATTTAATTTACTCCTACTTTTAAACTTAAGAATAAAAGAACACTCTAAATAATGCTGGGTTATTTAATCTACCCAACCGCTGGGTTAGGAAATGTTTTACCCATTATGGGTTATTTATATGGAAATTGGGTAATTTTGTTCAACTCATGCGTTGAGTCAAAATCCATCAACCCAACATATATCGTTTGACCCAGCAAGTGGGTTATTTGTGCTTCGAACATCATCAGCAGAGTCCACACACCGAGCGCTCGTCACAGCAGAGAACCTGACTGGTCGTCCAGCGAGGAAAATAAATAATAAAAAGGTATGTGTACACTACATTTCTTATTAACATTGTATGTGTTGCGTTACCTATTAAAGCAGTATCATTATATTGTCGAGGCTAGTTGGTTGGTTTGGCTTTACTACGTAGTTAACGTTAGCCATTTAGCCGTTATCATGGAAGCACTGATAGCCTAACTTAAACCTTAACTTATCCGTTTAGTCTGAATTATATTAATGAATTAATTAAACAAGTTCATAATGCCCATGGGCATATGGTCATGGTTGCAAGGCAAATTTGCCAGCTTTTTTCAAGCTAGCCAGGTGATTCACTCGTTTACTAGCCAACAGCCAGTTAGTTGCTTTGCTATTATTTTAAATGGCTATAAACGAATGTGCTTGTTTTTGCTGAAGCTTTTAGGTGTTTGATTAAAATATGTAAAAACAGTGAGATAATCTGATATGTCTGATTAAATGCATTTATTTAAGTTATGTGGTGACCCACAATAGATAAGAACAAATTCTAAAATGGCATCCTGGCAAACGACAAGGGCCACTTGAGTGAAGAGTTGATGTGACACGCCAAAGTATGTGCACATTTTGTGTAAAGGAGTTAATCGCAAAACAAACTTTAGGAAAAATTCTAAAGATAAGTGTTACGGAATTGGTTTTCATTATTTTAGAATAATAAATATGTTTGAGAGGATTTAAGATTTTTTTCATTCAGTTCCACACTACCAGTTGGTGGCAGTAATGCACCATATCATTGTGTGCCAACCGCCAAAAAACTTTAAAAGAAGAAGAAGACTCTAAATTAGGAACTTGTGTGTGCACCTGCGCGCCATTACATTTGCTGAGCCTTTGCTACGACGTGACACGGATTTTTACTCATCAATTTTTTTCCTGTTATTTTGCAGGTATTATTGTTACAACTTGATAATATGCACACGAGATCTGTAATGCAATTGTATATGTTCATACCGCAGATAATTCGGGTAATGACGTTTGGGGTTGTGAATATGTTGATATGCACATAATGCAGACTGTCCTCCATTTTGTGAACGCTGTAACACGAGGTGATTGTGAAATGCGTTTACGTTGATTCGATTCAAATTTATTCCAGTTAAGGTTATAGTCTTCATTATGAGTTTACTTCAAATTTGTGTTTGGTTTATTAAGTGATCTATTACATATAAAGATCGGATGCACTTATTTTGCAGAACTGTCAGTCGATCTGTCTATTTTTCTGCGCGGGGCCTGTGACATTAACAAATATATATGTATGTGCTCTGAAAGCTAACTTTATACTGTGAGCAGCCACAAATATTATTGTGCAGTAAGAACATAGACAATTTACATGTATACAATTTGTCATATGAATTGTAAAGAGAGAAGGATTTTGGGATGCTAAATAAAAAAGGCCTAGCTTGTATCTTCTAATTGGATTATTGTTGCGTTTGCATGATGACATATGAATAGGTAATGCAATAGAAATAGTATTTTTGCTTAAGCTCTTTTTTTGTTTGTTTCACACACAACAACACACAACACCCAGAGGGGCAAGAGGTTAACCTCATTTACCAACCAGTTCACTACAGTATACATTCTGTGAGAATGCCAGCCAGTACACGTCACACCATGCATACTGCATGCAGTTTTTTGATGTGGTTAAAAAAAATGCACAGTTTTATATCTTGACTCTTGACCCTCCCCCACCTGTCACCTTGTTTCCTATCCATTCAGGAGTTTACATTACTGATGCTTAGCAAGCTATTCTAGGTGGCTGCCACTGTTTATTAAACTGACATCGATTTTTTTTTAGGTTGAACCTGCTGTTGTCCCTGCTGTCCCACCTACAATCTCTGATGTCACACCAACTGCCACGCCTCCAAACCCCATGGAGGATCAAGCAGCTGCTGTGGTACCACTAAATCAGCAGATACAGACAATACACATCATTCCACAGTTTGTAAGTTCCACTTTAAGACTCGGGTGTCACTTTGTTTAATCAACAGTAGGCTGGGCAATTAATCAAAGCTAAAATTTTGAAACAAAATTGAATGTATCTTGTGTATGTTGATTGATCAAGATGCTTTTTTTCCCCTTCTTAAATTAGCAAATCCACCTGGATAAAAACTAGTAATTTTCTTATAATCAGCTAAATTCATTTGATTAGCACCTTAAACACTGTTATATTTTGCTGTACAATAGTAGTGCTTGAAAAGAGTGAAACATTTGTGATGCGATGTGAGATAACTGTTCATTACATTGCATTACATTACATTGCTTACATGATGGCAAGGAAATAGTTGAGAGCCTTGATGAAGATAATGTCATCACAACTAGTCAGAGACGTCTCCTCGTCCGTATCTTGGTGTCGTACCTCGTTGAGAAGTTTGGAGAGAAGTAATTTATTTTTTTATATTTAGAATAGGGCTCCTGTTAAATACGTCAACATTCCCATTTTGAAATTGAATTAATATATTTCAACATAAGTAACAAGTACAACATGTACTTTCATTTTACTTAAATTAAAAAAGCTTTTTCTCTTTTACAGTCCTACATCAGAAACCAAAAAGGCATTGGCTTTGGGTTTGGTTCAGTCTGCCTGTTTGAAAGACTCATCAAGCAGTGGCAGCGTGAGTGTTTTTTGAAAAATGATATTTATTTGGGTTGTTTGTTTTTTTTTTTGTTTTTTTTTTTCAAGGTTGCAATCCAATTCGATTCTCAATTTCAACTTTACTTAGTTAACTAGAGTCAGCCGAGGGCTCTACAACAGGCCCCCTTCTGTTTTTGCTAGATTTCCAATTTAGATCTCATGTTTCTGGCGAATCATCACCAAATAATAGACACTAGGGTTCGTACATGTGAAAATGATTGTCCCGCAGGTCCTTGTAAATAAGTAATTGGGAATTTGAGGCTTTAAATTTGTCTGGAAGTCACAACCTCGACGCACTATTTTTGGCAACGGAGCGTGGAGCAGCATACATTGAGCGTAAAAGCTGAATCCGTCAGTTAACAGACAAAATACAGCTCACTCCTCCTTGAAACATATCTGTGCTGTTATGCACTAAGCAGCAGGAACAATAATTGATCTACTTCTCTGAGGACAGACAGACGTACAGACAAACCCTGTTCTAACCGTAGCCCATGCTGTCAGTCAAATGTGCCTCATCTCTATTCATTAAAGATTTTGATTTCTTGGCAGGAAATATGGTACACCCCAGGATGGAGCCACCGGCCAGCCACTGGATTCCTAGAGGAAAGGCTGCGGAACATCAGGAAGCGGCTGAGATCAACCAGCAGGTTGCGGAGCATGGCACAGATGACATCACCACAAACGCCAGATGATGCTGCTCTTGCAAGGCCTCTCATACCAGGTAATTATTAAAATATATATTTGATGAAGCAAAACATCCATATTTCAGTGACTGACAACTTTGTTGTTCTTTACAGAATGTACCATATCAGACAAACGTGCGTCACAGTTTAAAGAATGGTTGAGAAACAATTCTCAGCCCCTCAGCCAGGTAGAGACCTATATGGAAAACACGGCAGTCTACAGGGCAAAGTGGATCAGAGAAAACAGTTGGACTATTGATCAAATCCTTGAAGAGTTCCCTCGCCTAATGACCAAAGGCATGGTAGGTATAGGGGAAAATGATCTTGCATTTGAGGATACATTGTTTATAATGTTTTATAAGTGTGCCACATTGAATTGGAATTAAAAAATGTGTCTTCCATTTTATAGATTGCACAGGACTTTCTTGTCCTACATGGGGAAGCTGCATCCAAGCTTTTTGAAACTTGGCTGCCCATTTATGCAGAGAAGGTCCTGTACCTGGCAAGACAGGAGGGGAATCTAACATTGCCCCTGGATGGTTTAACACCAGGTAATATATTGTCAGCAGATCTTGTAAATGCGCAGGGAATGCTATGGAAAATGCTGGATATTTATGCGATGAAATTGCTGGTATTGTGAAATCAAAGGTTGGTATGCTATTTCACATCGTATTGACACCTATGTCTTCCTACAGATGGCGTTGGGGAACTTGCCCTGAGGCAGCTGCCAGGATTACTCCCCCCCCCCCAACATACAAAGTTGGCCGTGGCCGCGGTGCGAAAGTTCCAATTTTGAATCACTCCTTCATCGATCATAAGGCTGTGGGTCCTCGAAGCACAAGTTTCTGAAGAGGAAACTTTATTCATTTTATCAATATATCTCAGGTCAAGACTGCACGCACACATGCATATTCAGGTTTTATTATACTTTTGGGTACAGGCATCAAATATAGCCAGACAGTATTTGGAAAATAGCGGTTCTACAAGCGGTTCAACCAGTTTAATCAAAATTCTGGATGTGTTTCAACAAGTTCCAGTATATTGTTAGGAACTGCACCAGTTCCAGTATATATATTGTCAATATTAATGTAATAAATTTTCAAAGATTCCATTGTTTTGTTTTTGTATTGTTTAAGTGTTTATTGCATAATAATATATTATATGCCTAAATCTCACATGTATTCTGTTCTAGGTTTGTAGTTTAAGAGTTTTAAATGGGTAGTCAATTGCAATTTATTTTCTAAATTGTACTGAATGTGTTAGACTTAATCTGGCATATGGGTTAATTTTACACAGCATAATATGTAGTTGAATCAACCTAGAATTGTAATTAATTTGACCCAGCATTTGGGTAGAATATTTAACTCAATCTGTTGGGTTAAATATGACTGACTCGTCTTGCTGGGTCAAATTAACTACTGCTGGTCTGGTGCAATATTGATCCCGCGGTTGGGTTATTTTTAACCCATCATTTTTAAGAGTGCAAGTTATCAAATTTCTCAAAGCTAAGAATCACTTAAGAGATGACGGTGGCTGACTTATGTCGACTGACTTACACCGACTTGATAGTCTAATGTGAGCTGCAGTTGACTGCAGGGGCAGGAAAAAAAACGGCGCTGTCAAGTCGGACACATTCTATCTGCGTGAGCTGAGATCAATGACTGACCAGGCAAAAGTGTGGTTCCAATTTGGTGCAGCCGGGGAAAAGCAACTGCGGCCGCCGGACTCGGCTCCTGCAGCCGCAGGACACGGTGACGTTTTGCAGCGCCAGTGAAAGTCGGACACAATTTCTAACCAGCGCTGCCCAGTGCCGCATAAAGTAGGCAAACACACCTATTCTCTCCCAGTTATTTAAGACAGCTCCAGAGGTCTCTCAAGTGGTTAGGAGCTGCCAGAAGGGGCTTGTGATGGCGCTGTGGAGACAGAAACCTGCGCGAATCTTTCAGAAGAGGAAGAATTACTAAATTATTTGACGATGCCCAGTTAATAAGACGGGGTCAGACAGCGCAGGCATAATCTTTGTCAGCAAGTTGGTGAGCGATGTCATCTCACCACTGACTTTACACAGTAGGCCTAATGTGTTTTCAATTAAATTGAAGGTTCGATGAAGCTTTCTTTGACACAGGACAAATGTAGCAATGCTGATGATTTTGGCCGTCACAACCATCAATAAGCCGAATAGTCATGGAAACAATTATAGCATTTAGGCTACAGCTCCGCACATTGTCATGCATTTCGTCGACTTCCCAACAACACACCCGTAATCCGACAGAAGCAAACACAGTTCATGCAAATAGCTGACTTCACAGGAGTAGTAGGTGTATTTGATGGCGCTCATATAAAGATAAACTTTTTATCTTTCATTTATTAATGTGTAGGCCTATATCTTAAACGTGTGTTAAATATAAACTCCTCTTAGGAATTTCACCATTCAATGTGAATTTATGTGTTTAAATGTACCTTATTACCACTATTTTCATTTCATTATTATTAATTTGTTTTAGTTAGTTTGACCTCTTTCCCTTTTCGTCCTCTTGCAGTCTTGTACTTTGTCATTCAGCCCAACCAGTAGCAGTAGTCAAGGTTCATACGCCGTACAGCTGGTCATGGAGGACTTTCCCAGGAAACCTATCACCCTGACTCAAACTAACGGGGTGCAGACGACGATAACTACCAACAACGCTATAAGCAAACTACCTGTCCAGTTTGTTTTCATTGGTAAGACTGGTATTTAAACACAAAAGGGCATATAAATTTAGCACTTACATGTTTATGTATGTATTAGCCTACTTCAATAAGATTATGTATAAATCACTAATTTGTGATTTAAGGTATATTAGGACAGCATAAGTGAATGACCTTTTACTTCTGCCCCCTTCTCCAAGTCAAAGGTATTGATGCCAAAACCTTGCTGTGAATGGACATGACTAGAATCACATGACAAAATGAATGTGTCATCACATGAGGTTGGGGGGGCGGGTGCTTCAAACAGGAAATTTATCTTAAAAAGCATGAGTAAATAGAAATTGCATATACTTCAGCTTGATTTTAATAGAAGGGTATAAACGTTGACTTACTGATGTACTATGGCTATAAATTATATAAAAACATGTATGGTGTAATAGTGTACCCAAATAAAAAGATGTTTTGAAATTTTGTTAAAATTTTGTTGATTAGCACATTTGTTTATTAACACAGAACCACAGAGATGTAGATAAAATGTGCCACACTAGCCGCGAGCGAGCATTAGGAGGCTTGTTAAAAGTGACACAGAGGGGTTATGGACGTAAAGGCTGGACTACAATCGAGCTTTGTCAGGCAGTTTAGGAGCAGTATTTTCTGTGGGAGATGGTAGCTCCCTTTATGGTGGACTTTGGGGTATTTCACTTTTCCAACCTATTACATGCACAAAAAAGAAAATACAGTAAAGGAAAGGGAAAAAGCTGACAAGCATAATATGACTTTTTTAAGAATTTTGAAATGTATCATAATGTACTGTAGGGTTACTTTTTAATTTTTATGACAAGAACAAGATCACAATAAAACACATTATGCTTCAGTTAGGATTTTGAGAGGTTACTGGCTAAGTAAAACAATTTGTAGAAGAGCGTGATTGTGAAAATAAATGGGAGGAGTAGGGTGAGAAAGAGAAATCCCTCCCATTTAGTGAGATCCCTCTCACGTTCATCCATCTTTCCAATCCTTCCGCTGCTGTTCTTCTGCGACCACTCTTCTTCTTCTCGTCGTTTTATTGGCGGGTATTGAGCAACTGATAAATGTTTATAGCTAATGTTCTACATTTTGCCACCTTGTAGCAAATATATCATACCCAGCAGGGTTTTTTTTTTTTTTTTTTTAAGAGATTGGTAGATGATGGACAGACTGATGGATGGAGGGACCAACAGGTATTACAATCCTCAGAAAACTTCAGTGTGGATTAAATCTTTGCTCTTTCTACTGTTCCAGTGGATCCTGTGGTGCCATCCTGCACAGAGGGACTTTATCTGCCCAAGTTTCTGCCTCCAACCCCAGACAACAGAGCTCAGCTTTACGCCACTGTCAATCAGACCCTGAAAATCAGCTTTAAAGCAGAAGCAAATATCTCCACGTAAGTGAAAAAAAACTTTATAAATAAAAATACCATGGGTTAATGATGTCCTACAGAACCTTCTCCAATAAGATAAGAAACACTTACCCACATAAATGTTCTTTTATTCCGCAATGGTTTTCAGGTGCACGAGTGTATTCTGGAACTGTTATGGTTCTGTTCAAGACTTTTTAAAGTTGTAGGCATAGAGGTTTTGGAAATGCTTATTTAACTTTCCACGCCTTTTGTTCTCATGTTTGTTAAAGAATTTCTGAGCTGCTTTTTAGTGGGCCGTACAACACAATCCAGACTACATTGGGAGCTGGACAGTTCATCCTGAGTTGGACGCCGTCTGAAAACCAAAATGGAGAAAGCCACCCCATCTGTTTTGTTGTCCAGGCCGTTTCCAGGTCAGTCACTTTATCCATGAACATTACCCTAAAGCAAGATAATATGGAAACTGTAGAAGAAAAATAAAAACTATAAACTGTGTTTCTTATGACAAAGGTCTGTCAGTCAATATTGCATATATGAAATGAAAGAAAGAAAGGAGTTTTGGAAATATACGGTTTCCTAAATTATCTTAACAGAGGATGGGGATACACGTCTGTACACGTGTGTACAAGTGTTTATAATAATATGTGAGGAAATTTACATATGTGACACTTATATTTGTGCAGAGTTAAGGAAAAAGTCCTCCTTGAGCAAGACATACTTTCTAGGTTTAAATATATGAATATACTTCATCAGCTACCATATTGATTTCCACAGTTCTGTCAAGTATCACTCGGAGGTACGATGTGTCATTGTGAGTGTTCGAAGCGGTAAGTAGTACCATTAATGGCTTTTTAATGTTTTATAATCCATTGTATATTTCCTAGATTATGAAGTTCACTTGTAGTCTTTAATGTTCATTTCTGTTTACAGACCCAACATCTACACCAGTACCTACAACAACCACCACTATAAAAACTACAACAACCCCACCAACAATATCCACCATTCCCTTAACAACTACCCCACCAATTACAATAACCATCACTTCACCAATTACAACAACCCCACCAATTACAACCACCATTCCCTCAACAACTACCTTACCAACCACAGAAACCACCACTGCACCAGCTACAACAACCACACAAAGCACAACTACCATTCCCTCAACAACTACCCTTCCAACCACAATAACCACTACACCAGCTACAACAACCACACAAAGCATGACTACCATTCCATTAACAACTACCCCACCAACCGCAATTACTATCGCTACACCAATTACAACAACACCCCCACCAACTACAACCACCATTCCCTCAACAACTACCCCACCAACTACAATACCCACCACTACACCAATTACAACAACCCCACCAATTACAACCACCATTCCCTCAACAACTACCTTACCAACTACAATATCTGCACAAAGCAAAACTACCATTCCCTCAACAACTACCCTACCAACCACAATAACCACCACTACACCAATTACAACAACACCCCCACCAACTACAATCACCATTCCATCAACAACTACCCCACCAACTACAATATCTGCACAAAGCAAAACTACCATTCCCTCAACAACTACCCTACCAATTACAATAACCATCACTACACCAGCTACAACAACCACACAAAGGACAACTCCCATTTCCTCAACAACTACCCCACCAACTACAACCACCATTTCTTCAACAACTACCCTACCAACCACCGAAACCGCAACTACACCAGCTACAACAACCCCGCCAACTACAACCACCATTCCCTCAACAACTACCCCACCAACTACAATAACCACCACTACACCAACTACAACCACCATTCCCTCAACAACTACCCTACCAACCACCGAAACCACCACTACACCAACTACAACAACCACACAAAGCACAAATAACATTCCCTCAACAACTACCCTACCAACCACAATAGCCACCACTACAACAACCCCGCCAACTACAACCACCATTCCCTCAACAACTACCCCACCAACTACAATAACCACCACTACACCAAATACAACCACCATTCCCTCCACAACTACCCCACCAACTACAACCACCATTCCGTCAACAACTACCCCACCAACTACAACCACCATTCCCTCAACAACTACCCTACCAACCACCGAAACCACCACTACACCAGCTACAACAACCCTGCCAACTACAACCACCATTCCCTCAACAACTACCCCACCAATTACAATAACCATCACTACCCCAGCTACAACAACCACACAAAGGACAACTCCCATTTCCTCAACAACTACCCCACCAACTACAACCACCATTTCGTCAACAACTACCCTACCAACCACCGAAACCGCAACTACACCAGCTACAACAACCCCGCCAACTACAACCACCATTCCCTCAACAACTACCCTACCAACCACCGAAACCACCACTACACCAACTACAACAACCACACAAAGCACGACTATCATTCCCCTAAAAACTACCCTACCAAACACAATAACCACCACTACACTAGCTACAACAACCACACAAAGCACAAATAACATTCCCTCAACAACTACCCTACCAACCACAATAGCCACCACTACAACAACCCCGCCAACTACAACCACCATTCCCTCAACAACTACCCCACCAACTACAATAACCACCACTACACCAACTACAACCACCATTCCCTCCACAACTACCCCACCAATTACAATAACCACCACTACACCAGCTACAACAACCACACAAAGGACAACTCCCATTTCCTCAACAACTACCCCACCAACTACAATAACCACCATTCCCTCAACAACTACCCTACCAACCACCGAAACCACCATTACACCAGCTACAACAACCCTGCCAACTACAACCACCATTCCCTCAACAACTACCCCACCAACTACAATAACCACCACTACACCAAATACAACCACCATTCCCTCCACAACTACCCCACCAACTACAACCACCATTCCGTCAACAACTACCCCACCAACTACAACCACCATTCCCTCAACAACTACCCTACCAACCACCGAAACCACCACTACACCAGCTACAACAACCCTGCCAACTACAACCACCATTCCCTCAACAACTACCCCACCAATTACAATAACCATCACTACCCCAGCTACAACAACCACACAAAGGACAACTCCCATTTCCTCAACAACTACCCCACCAACTACAACCACCATTCCCTCAACAACTACCCTACCAACAACAACCCTGCCAACTACAACCACCATTCCCTCAACAACTACCCCAACATTTACAATAACCACACAAAGCATGACCACAATTCCCTCCACAGCTACCCCGCCAACTACAATACCCACCACTACACCAGCTACGACAACACAAAGCACGACTACCATTCCCTTACAAACTACCCTACCAACCGCAATTACCACCACTACACCACCTACAACAACCCCAACAACTAAAACCACCATTCCCTCAACAACTACCCTATCAACTACAATAACCACCACTACAACAGCTACAACAACCACACAAATCACAACCATTCCCTCAACGACTACGCCACCAACAACAACCACCACCATTACACCAGCTACAACATCGACACAAAGCAGTACCACCATTCTGTCAACAACTACCCCACCAACTACAATAACCACGACTACACCAACTACAATGTCCCCACCAACTACAACCACCAGTTCCTCAACAACTACCCCACCAACTACAATAACCACGACTACACCAACTACAATGTCCCCACTAACTACAACCACCATTCCATCAACAACTACCCCACCAACTACAATAATCACAACTACAACAACCCTGCCAACTACAACCACCATTCCTTCAACAACTACCCCACCAATTACAATAACCATCATTAGACCAGCTACAACAACCACACAAAACATGACCACCGTTCGCTCGACAACTATCCCACCAACTACAATAACCACAACTACACCAGCTACAATAACCACACAAAGGACAACCCCCATTCCCTCAACAATGACCCTACCAACTACTGTAACCACCACTACACCAACTACAACAACCCCACCAACTACAACCACCATTCCCTCAACAACTACCCCACCTACTACAATAACCACTACTACTACAAGTACAACAACCCTACCAACTACAACCACCATTCCGTCAACAATTACCCCACCAACTACAACAACCCTGCCAACTACAACCACCATTCCCTCAACACCACCAACTACAATAACCACCACTATACCAACTACAACAACCCCACCAACTACAACTACCATTCCCTCAACAACTACCCCTCCAACTACAATAACCACACAAAGCTCAACCATCATTTCCTCGAAAACGAACCCACCAACTACAACAGCCACCACTACAACAACCACACAAATTACAACCAGCGTTCCCTCAACAACTACCCCACTACACACTACAACCAATGCATCAGCTACAACAATGATATTGTTACATCTAATGATATTGTTATTTTTGTATGACTGAAACATGGTTAAAAGCAGTGCCTTGAACGAAGCACCCCCTCCAGCCTTTTCTTATCCCCAGAAACCTCCCGGAAACCTGTTTCATGTGAGGAATTGTCCTCTTTGAATGTCTAATATTTTTGTTAGCAAGCGTCAGCCTTGTTTATTTTTCTTAGTTTATCACCTTTCTAAGTCTAATTGCATTTTTACCTCTGTTTCTATCTAATTATGATTTTAATTGATAAATATTTACTACATTGTGTATTTCTTAACCTTAAAAGATATTAAAAGTTGTTTGTCCAAATGTACATGAATTGATATCTTGTAGATAACAAAGTAAAGCCTTTAAATGTGTGCATATCCAACTAGAAAATTGATTCTAGCTCGCAATAAAAAAAAGTGTGGTTTGGAATGCCAACACTCGCACACATCCCAGGGAAGAGATCATTAACATTCCTGCGATGCCATGATCACTAAAGTGAACACTTACTTTTTTTGCTGTGCATGATGCCAGATATGACTTTCAAACCTGGCAACGCTGCTCATGCATTTGTTTGTTAGTGGATTATTATAATCAGATTATATAATTATATTCTGTTTATTAGGGCCCAAGCATGAAATTGCTTTATTCAGTGATTTCACTATATTTAACAACTGTGTCTGTTTAATTTGGCAGATGTAGACATTAGAAAACTGTATTTCCTTTCACCTGTTTTATGTGAATTTTTATTTCAATACATTTTTTATTCCATTTCATTTTTTTTAAATGCTCAGGACCATAATCATATGGTATGGATCACAAACAAGGCATAACAAATAACAAAAAGACCAACACAAGGGCATTGTACATGGTGAACAAAAAACAGTAAATAGTAAAAATAATATTATTACTTAAACAAAGGAATAACATTCTTCGAAAAGATACTCAATTTGCTAATAACCTTTGGCTTGTCTGATACAGCAAAGAAATTTACTTACATATAGATGGGTACCTTACATACCTTACTTTACCTTTCTCCACTATTTCTTATGCTTACATTCTTACAGTCAAACAAATTTGATACTCACCTCCCAGACAATTGTCATTACTGTCAGGATCAGTGACCAGAACTGAAACGCAGACCAGAGTTAGACATTCAAACAAAGGTGAATTTATTCAGAGATTGCTGGTAAGTTGAACTGTGTCCGGCCCCCAGGCTGATAGTCTGCAGTTGGACAGGGAAATGGCAAGTTTGCAATAGTTTTCACAACAGGTCAATCCGGCGGGGACTGGAAGGTTGGTCTGGCTTATATGGGTGAGTAGATTGCAGGATGTGAAACAGGTGCGCTGAGTGGTGTGATGAGCCCTGGTGTGCAGGCAAGAGCTCCAGCGACCCTGCCCACCAGCGGCATCCAGAGCATAAGAGAGAGAGCAGAACACAGAGACAGGCTCCAAACAAAAACACACCAAGCATACAGCAGGCACACCAAAAGGGCAAAAGAACACAAAAACTACATTCACACACATACCATAAAGGAGGCCAGAATTCTAGTATTATTCACCCTGAAATTGCAAATAACTATTTGTATAGCTTTTATAGCTGTTTTCATGCAATCAATACTTTTCCATTTTGAACATGTTTAATTCTACATACATATCTCTTGATGTCATATTCATAAGCTCACTTTGTCACTTTTGCATGAACTGGTCTTTTAGTCTCTGTTCGAGAGTTAGTTTCAACCAGTTAATATTGTAAAACAAACCACAGTCATCCAGGGTCAGCTTAACATTCAGTACCCATGGTGCTGAATACACCTGCATTATACAGGTTCAGCAGATATCCAACGAAGGTTAAAATCAAGGGCAACTGGACTTGGTTGAAGATACTGGAAGACGTTTCGTCCCTCATCCAAAGGACTTCTTCAGTTCTGACTGACTGGCCAGGGTCATCAATACCGCTGGTTCGTTAGTGTTCCTGGTTGCTGTGACGACAGTCATTACAGTCGTTAAGACTACCGGTGGCCAAGACTAAACGACCATCGTTGGCATCTTCACCTGAGGCCAATAGGTTACCTTTGTTGAGTTTCCTGGGAAGAGATGAAAGGACAGCATTTTAAGTGGGGGATAAGTGGTGGCGTAGACCCCCTCCTCGGTTCAATGACGGCTTCTCGTGAGAAGCAACTTAGTCAACTTGCAATTTTGGCATTGCAAGTGTTTCACCAGATAGAAGTTCATTTTAAAGTCATGCATTTGTTTACTTCTTACGTAGTGATTATTCGAACATATTTCTTAGCGTTTCTTATGGTTGCTATTTATATGCCAAATGTTTGCAATTTTCCTTTACATGTATTTGTAATGTTTGCAAATGTGTCCACATAGAACATGGCATTAATGTGTAGCATCCCGGAGCCTTTTTTAGCGCCTCAAATACATATGCTTCGTTGTTTTCTTCCAGTTTCACTCTGTAGATATTTGAAGGGAACGTCTCAATAAAGAAGACAATACACCTGTCTCATGTCTAGGATTCATCTGTTTGCTTAGCTGTGCTCAGTTCAAACTGAGGGTGAAACAGTGAAAAGGCAGATTCATCTACAAAATCAAATCTCAGGTGGAGAGACATGTCAGCTCTGCCCCAGAACCGGACCATGTCTCAGCAACAAGATGAAGCAATCATGTCGGTCCGCACTCATGCATCAAAATCATCAAAGCGCTCTAGTAAGTCAACTGCAAGCTTGGCCGCAATCAACGCACGTGCTAAGGCAGAGGCAGCACGAGAAAGAGCGCATTTGCTCAAAAGGAAATGGAAATGAGGGTCAAACAGGCAGAGCTCAAAGTCGAGGAAACGCGACTGGAAGCTGCATTAGAAGCGCTTCATCACCAACATAATGCAGAAGCGGCCCTCGCTGAAGCCAACATATATGAAGCAGCGGCTAGTGAAATAGATGAAGAGCGAATGAGCGCTAGCCTCTCTCAGACATTTCCCCCCTTAGAATGAGTATGTGAATAATCACTTCTCACACAATGCCAATGTAACTCTACATGAAGATATGAAGCCTCACAATGTGCCAGCACGTTCCACGTTTTTTCACCTTAAGCAGGAAGTTGACTTGCCTGACCCTAGCATTAGACCTTACATTTCACTGCCTCACCAGAACAGTGGACAGGATGATGTCTCCCAATGCTTCACGGTGCGCAAACCTCTGATTCCGTCACAAGAGAACTTAAATATGTCTGACCTCACAAGATTTCTAGCCAGAAGTGAGTTGCTCATTGGAGGACTTACAAGGTTTAGCGACAAACCAGGTGATTACTGGTCATGGAAATGAAATTTGAAAACACCATTCAAGGTCTACAATTAACGACCAGTGAAGAGCTGGACTTCACTGGTCGAAGAAGGAGTGGTTGGGTGATGAATCCTCTCAACATGCAAAACACCTCCGAGCAGTGCATATCAACAGGACTGTCCAAGGTGTGGGAGAGACTGCAAGAGTGTTATGGCTCTCCTGAAGCCTTTAAAGGGCTCTGCTTTTTTAGATATACTTTATTACTTTATTTAATCCTGCGAGGGGAAAATAAATGTTTTCACTCTGTTATTATGTTAGTATTTTTACACACAGGTCTGAAATGCACACACATGCACATGCACAAACAGGACCCATAGCAACACACGGAGAGATGTCAGAGTGACTACTACGCTACCTTGGGGACCTTCTTTTAGAAATAGATTCTGCCAAAGACGAAAGCCACATTCTAGGATTACTTTACCTCAACACAGCATGTGGAATTCATCCCATAGTGGATAAACTTCCATTTGGTTTGCAGGAGAAATGGATGACACATGGAATAAAGTACAAACAAGAACATTTGCTGTCATTCCCTCCATTCTCTGTTTTTGCCACCTTTATAAAAAATGAAGCCAGAATGAGAAACAACCCCAGTTTCAGGTCTTTAGCTCCACCACTCATTACAAAATCCAACTTCCAAAGTGGACAAATATCTGGGGAAGCATGACAGAACAAGGATCCCTATCTCAGTAAACAAAATGGAAATGGTTTTCTCTAAACAACGGCAAAGTGCTGGACAAAGAGTTGAAGACCCTAGTAAAAAGTGTCCCATCCACAGGAAGCCCTATCCACTCAAAAAGTGCAGGGCATTTCGAGAGAAGTCTCCAGAGGAACGTAAGACTTACTTGAAGCAGAATCATATCTGTTTCCGATGCTGTGCTTCTTCCAGCCATCAGGCCAAGAACTGTAAGGTGGAAATCCACTGTACAGAATGTGACAGTAGAACCTTCAGTGTCTTTAAACGATGTCCCTCTCACAGGCCCCAATCTCAACAACAGCCTGCTGGGTGTCCTCATGCGGTTCCACAAGGAGCGAGTGGCAGTCACAGCTGATATCAAGCAGATGTTCCATTGTTTCTTGGTACAGGAAGGTCACTGGAACTTCTTGCGCTTCCTTTGGCACCGAAACAATGACATGGAGGAACCCATAATGGAGTACCGCATGAGGGTTCACATTTTCGAGAACAGCCCTTAACCCACTGTGCCGATCTATGGGCTCATGAGGGCGTCCCAAGATCAAGAGGATGATGGCTGCACGACAAGGCGCTTTCTATTTCGATGACGGTCTAATCTCAGTTCCATCCAATGATGAGGCTATCGCTGTTCTCCAGAGGGCCCAAGAAACGCTAGCTTCACCCAATTTGAAGTTGCATAAGATTGGTTCTAATCACTTCAGTGTGAAGGCATTTCCCAAAAAGGACCTTGCGAAGGTCCTAAAGGAGCAGTCTTCCCACCCCTTTCAGGTATCTGCAACAGAGAAGCCTTACACTCACCGAGGGGTATTGTCGTCGTATGACCCACTCGGATTTGCAGCTCCAGTCAGCATTCGAGGCAGGGCCTTGCTAAGAGAGCTCACCACAGAAGCCTGTGAGTGGAATGACCCACTTCCTCCAAAGAAGCTTAAAGAATGGTGTGACTGGAAGGATTCCCTCAAAGATCTGGAACATTTAAGGATCCCAAGGACATACACTTCTATCTGCCTCAGCAGTTCCACAAACAGTTACATGCGCAACAAATCCAGGGTTCTGTGTCCACGTAAGCAACCATGTGCAGAGAATCAGAAAGTCATCACTATCCAGACAATGGAACTACATTCCCACAAACAAAAACCCAGCTCCTGTTGAAGCTAGCTGAGGACGAGGCCGATAATGAAGCATCCTTTGATCTAATTAACCCCGAGGCTGAGATCCTCCAGTTATATCTTGTGCCACTCAGGTTGCAGAGTCCCCCTTGAATCTGAGGCGTTTTAAGGCATTCTCATACTGGAGACTGCTTGTGAGAACTATAGCAAGGCTGATCCATGTAGTTAGCTCCTTCAAGCGAGAAAACACCATGAGCCATTATCAAGGCTAGCACATATGCAAAAGCCTCTCCCCAGAAGACTTTGCCAAGGCTAGGGGTGTCATCCCACGCAGTCTTCAATACAAGGCCTTCCCTGAGGTTGGTGACCTACCCACTGACCATCTGAGCACTGACCCTCCATTCTCTTACGTTGGAGTTGATGTATTCAGCCCTTGGACAGTCACTTCTCGTCGTACCCAGGAATGATGCGCAAGCAGCAAATGGTGGGCAGTCATTTTCACCTGTATAAGCACCAGAGCCATACACACTGAGGTGATGGAGTCGATTGAGTCTTCATGCTCCATCAATGCCTTGCGGCGCTTCCTCTCTATTCGTGGCCCAGTAAAACAGTTGAGGTCCGACTACAAAATACAGGAGTTCTTGAGTGACAAAGGCTGCATATGGGTGTTCAACCCACCTCATGCCTCACACATGGGAGGCAGCTGAGAATGCATGATTGGTGTGACTAGGCGAATACTTGAGTCCATGCTTATGGGTATTACACCCCGGCAGCTGATCCATGAAGTATTGACCACTTTCTTGGCAGAAGTAACAGCAATTGTTAACTTGCGACCTCTCATCCCGGGATCCACCGACCCAAGCTTTCCTCTCATCCTGACACCAGTCAGAAGGTAGGAGTCCCATCCCCACCTCCTGGCAATTTTGATGAAAATGACATGTACAAACACCAGTGGAGGTAGGTACAGAATCTCTCTAATTTTGGCGTTGGAAGACCCAGTACCTCTCTACCCTATAAGGTCGTATGAAATGGCATTCAGGAAGACCTAATCTACCAAAAGGGGACCTTGTGCTGCTAGCGCATGGGTGTTGTAGTCAAAACCTTCCCCAGTCATGATGGGAAGCTGAGGAAAGTAGAAGCCAAGGTCACTTCTGAAGGAACATGCAAGACTTTCTTGAGAACCATAACATTGAGGAGGAGCCCAGCACTAATGACGAGGACAATGGAAAGATGTAATCATGACATCATATAGATGTCAGGCGGGGAGTGTGCTAGCCAAGATTAATTCTTGCCAGCCGGTGGGGCTGTTGCTGTTTGCATTCATGTTGCATTAGCCAATAGTAAGGTTGTAGGTCAGCCAGGAAACAGGAAGTAAGTCTCACATGTTTAGTTGTGGCCGACAGAGAAAGAGGTTGTATCGTTATTTTGAATCAAGGGGGTTGAAACAGTGAAGCCAACCAAAACCTGCACGGACCGTTCCATGTAGGCCCAAAAATGACCTTAAAACTCTGTGACATCCCGTCGCACATGAGAGATGAAACCGTATTGCTTAGATTATAAAGTCTCAGTGAATCTAAAACTATTCGGCCATCAGTGACGCTGCATTGGTGTTTGGCAGGTGAGCCTCGTAGGTGGACTGATTAAAAACAGTGAGCCAAGAAACTTTTTGTTTGTGCAGCTATGCAGCTACCAGAATTACGGTGTTTCTGCCGTTGCTCTACGTCATTAAACCACGTTATGCTGTGCGATCATGTGCAGTAGACACTGGTGCCAACAGGAAGTGGCCCTGTAGTAGTATTTTATTGGTCCAAAATTGGTTTCACTGCTCTCCATTCAAACCAGCAGGGTGGCTTTGTCTAGTAATATACTGTCTATGTTTTGAATCTGCATCCATATTTCTTTGTTGCTTTGTGGAAAGCATTGCCTGTGAGTATTTTTAGTCATTAAAATGTCGTTAAAGGGATTATCGGTGACTATTTTGGCATTGCAAGTGTTTTATCAGATAGCAGTTCATGTTAAAATCATGCTAGTAGCAACTACTCAGCTATGCTGCATGTAGCTTTAGAATTTGCATTTGTTTACTTCTTACGTAGTGATTATGGTAAATGTACAGCGATATTTGTTTATTCGAACATATTTCTTAGTGTTTCATCTTCTTGCTATCTATATGCCAAATGTTTTCAATTCTCCTTTGCATGTATTTGTAATGTATGCAAATGTGTCCACACTGAACATGGTATCTGGTAGCATACCAGAGCCTTTTTTAGCGCCTGAAAAACATGCTTTGTTATTTACTTCCAGTTTCACTCTGTAGATATTTGAAGGGAACGTCTCAATAAAGAAGGCAATACACCTGTCACATGTCTAGGAGTTTATCTGTCTGCTTTGCTGTGCTCAGTTCAAACAATGAGGGCAGAAAACCCACTTTACATAGAGCCATCTCAGCACCACTTTTTCTTTTTTCTTCTTTCTTTCAGACATCCCTCTACACCTTGGGAATATCCTGAAATCTACAACCACAGTGACCCCTGCTGTTTCAACTTAAATATTTATTGAAAAAAGTTTTCAGTTGTAGAAACATTTTTAAATGTTTTGCTGCCTTTGATTTCATTTCCAATATCTATTAAATATTTGTAAAGCCAATTAAGTCACTTAAGCTTAATTCTACTAAATATAATTTGTTTTTCAATTTATATTAAATCCAATTGCAAATTATTTACAGTAGAATTAAGCTTAAGTGACTTAATAAGGTCAACCATGGACTGTAGTAAAAAATTACTGCTTTATCCTCATTATATTACATTTATTTGCCTTCATCTTAGTCTTTCCAACCCATTGTCTAGATTAAATATTGTACAGTCATCAGATCTATTGAGAACAGGCAGGGGGAGACATTGCCAAAACAGTGACACATCCAACATATAGTATTTACAGTTAAACAGCAACACCACACCATTGAGTCAAAACCATCTGGTATCTGATTACAGAAGTGCAGCCTGAGTTGTTGAACTTGAGATGCTTCACTTAAGCTCTTTGTTAAAAACTGGTCCCTCTACTTGAGACAGATATGGGTTTTCAGACTTTTGGCTCATCTTGCTCCCAAGTGGGAAGTTGAGCCAAAAGAGAGGATAATTTGAGCTACATGTGGGTCAGGGACATCAATGTCATTTTGTCATGCCAATTGACAACATTTCATCACACTTAGATCGAGAAACATTGGTGCTAGATTTTTGATATGTTTCCTATCAATATATCTCTTTAAAATCATTCCGTTGATCTTCATGTCTTCTTGAACATAAAAAAATAACTTTGAATGGCAAAAAAGCAAACTTGTTTTTTAACTTAAAGGTGTTAAAGGTTTATCGCTTACTCCATGGGCACTTGTCCATCACAGGGTGAGTGATATGGATGACTTCAAAAATGCATGGTCACATGACCAATTTTGTTTATGGTTGCAATTTTGTTATGGTTTATGGTTGGATTTCAAACAACAATGAAACTTCATATCGGGAGGAAATTCATAAGCCTGTAGAGTGGTGCTTAGAGCACAACCTATACTGCTCAGCGTCAGCAAAATCAAAGAGCTGATCGTTGATTTTAGGAAAAAGGAGATAAAGACACACACTCCTGTCTACATCAGTGGTGCTGAGATGGAGCAGGTGAATAGTTTCAGGTTCCTGGGAATCAGCATCTCAGAGAACCTGACATGGTCATCTCACATCTCCACACTGGTGAAGAAAGCTCAGAAAAGACTGTATTTCTTGAGGCCAAATTCCCATGCCAAATTCTTGACAGCTTTTACAGAGGAGCAAAAGTAAGCCTCCTGTCTGAAAACATCACTAACTAGCATGGGATGTGCACGGCCCAGGACCAGAGGGCTCTGCAGCGGGGGATTAAAACTGCTTAGAAGATTATTGGTACCCATCTCCCGAGCATCAGTGATATCGGTGAGGTGAGGTGCCTACGCAGAGCCCAAAGGATACTAAAGGACCTAGCCATAGCCTGTTCATCCTGCTGACTTCTGGGAAGAGAAAGTTTCCGAAAGTTTCTGCTGCAGCACCACCAGAGGGCAGAGCAGCTTTCCCCCACAAGCCATCAGACTCTTAAACTCTAATTCATCCTCAGCACTGCTCCATTAATTATAGTTATTATATATTTCAGGTTACCATTTTTATAATTGCTTCGGTAGTAATGTATATTGTCTGCCATGTAGCAGAAGGGAGTTACAAGTTCAATTTGTTATATTGTGACAATAAACCTATACAATACTTTTATTAGTAAATTATTTTATGCAAATGCAAATTTACCTATAAAGCAGACCCATTCTAATCGTAAATTAATTTTCATCGTAAAGAAAAGCATTGTAAAGGATGAACATAAAAAAATATTATTTATGTTACCAATAAATGAAAAAGACATTGTTGCAAAGGATTTGTTTAAATATTTGTTACTTTATTTTATTATTGTTTATTATATTGTAAAATCTTTATGAATGTAATGTTTCCTTTGAGATGTGTTCACTTTTTCATAATTTGCTTGTCACATTTTGCTAATAATTACACATTACACATTACATAATGAAAAAACATGAAAAAATGTCAAATGTTGGACTTGGCTAAAAAAGTTTTGATTAAAAAACATCTTCCTTTGCTCTTTGTTTTATAAAAGAATTATACACATCAACACCAAAATAATGATATCATGATATTCAACAAGGTCAATTTTGTCCTAAAAGAAAGCAATATTTTTACTTTCTTTGTTATTAACAGCATAGCTTTTAATTTATCCTTGTGAGAATGAGAACTAATTTTCAACTGAGAGACCAAAGTACATGAAAAGATCTGTAAATGTGTATTTAAAAAATAAAATTATATTTTATAAATAGGAAGGTGGAGCTGCTGCCAAAAGACTGTTTTATAAACAGTCTATGGTGTATACACACATTTACAGCACTTCTGGTATAAATACTAAATGGGGAGGCAGAGTCTTGCAGCAATTTTCCTTTTTATCACATCACTTAATTATTTTTAAGGTCAAACAACACCTGTCTGACACCAAATGAAAAAAGAAAACCATCCTCATTCTCACATGTAAAATTCACAGCAAGGACATCTTAATGATACTTTTTAATTCAAAGTGATTCATAGTGAAACCATCAAATCTATCACAGACAGGTAGGTGGAACTGCTGCTGCAAAAGTCAACGTGACAAATTACACACCAATACGCACATAAACACTGAGTAAAAACCACAAGTTTGGCTTTAAAATTACAGAATTCTTTCCATTTATTTTTATTATTGACTCTTGCAAATGACCGCTGGTGTGTAACACTTGGCACCATTCCTGACAACAAGTGGTTATAATCATCAGCAACAAAAAACCTTTCCTCATAACAGGCCATTTCCTGGTCTATTGTTTTATTTTGAGGTAAACAGTCTTCCATTTGGAAAAAAGCCAAATATAGAAAGGGAGAGAGACAGAACGAGAGTCTGTCTTTGGAGGGAGATGTGTTGGTGTTGGTCTTTGACTTTCTTTGTGTGAGGAGACTAAACACATTCACTATGTTGCTTTCTCTGCTGCTGCTGCTGCTGGTCTGTAGCACCCAGGCAACTAGTTTTTATGGAGCAGTGATGACTTACTACCCAAAAGACACTAACACAGATGGATCTATCATGGTATGTATACTGTTTTGTTCTAATCCAATTTATTCACCTTTGAAATGAGACAGTGTGACAATTTGACAAAAGTCAAAGGTTTTCTGGGATGTGGGCAATACAGTAGAAAATGCAGTAAAGTCTGTCTTTAGACTTAAGTCTTTAGAAGTCCTAAGAACAATGCTCTATATATATTTAATATATACTGTACAATAAAAGATTTAACATTTTTCCCTGCACTGCTTGGAGCCTGCACTCTATGATAATAACCCTATTACGCTATCTCAACAAAACAATAGTTTTTACGATGTTTCAATTTGTTAGAACTCTAATAAATTAAACTACTTTTTTAGATCACAGATGTTGTCATTAAAGCCACAACATATCTTTCCTGTAATACTACAGGTGGACCTTCGCATTGTGGCGAGCTTCAACTCTTGCGCAGCTTTATGTTCAGATTGGCTGAAGAATGTTGACATGGGAAATGGTGGAGAGTGGTGCCAGAAAGAGGGAATCATAATTCAGCAGCAGCCCAGCAACACTCCCTTTCAGCTGTGGTAAGTGCACGATGACAATGTAAAAAAAATAAATTTCACTGAGGGCCAAAAATGTAATTTTTAAATAATCAGTGAAAGATGAGAAAATTAAAACCTCCTTTTCCAAAAGGTCAATGGTTCAACTAAACTTATATTTATTTTAACTATAAAACAAAAGGTGAACAAGCTTACAGTGTGATGATTAAGGCAAAGGTCAAAAGACAGATGAGCAGTGCAGCTTAAGGCAAACAAATCCAGATAAGTACAGGCAATGATAAAAGTTAGAAAATCAAAAACAGTCTAATCAGGAGCAGTTCGGGAAGTTGAACAGAGGACCTTTTGCTCTCTGGCGGATGGCTGGAGGACTAGACTAAAGTGGAACTGGAGACCTCAGATGGACGGTGTGGGGGCAGAACAGATGGGTGGAGCAGGTCTGAAGTGTGACCAGGAGGCAGGACCAAAGGGCTGAGCAGGTCAAGCCAGCAGGCTCACAACCCTAAAAGTAATTGACTGGAGTGCAGGTGGACTTCCAACGGTGCCAGAGTAGAGGGTTGGTGGCTAGCAGACTGGGAAGCTGGCTGGTTGTTAGCAGGCTGAATGCATAGGGGATAGTAGAGTACGAAAAGTATAACAGTGTCACACTGTCTAGCATTTACTGGGAAACATACATCACAATGGTATGAATGTCACACATATTTTGTTTCCATTACATCTTCATATCTTATCTCGTGACAGAGAGGAAACTTTGAGCTCTTTGCATGTTCAGTGAAATGTTTCAGGATGACAACAAAGTGCGTATCTTTCATCCATTCATAGGGATTTGCCCCTCATTTGCTTATCAGGTGGCCCATTGATCTGGAAATGATTGAGGAAGTTGACACGGTAGAAATATAAAATACGATGGTAAACTATTCCCTATGGCTGAGAAAGCACGGATCAGTGTGCCCCTTTCAGCAGAGGCCTGTGACCCTACTTGTTTGAATCCATGTCTGGGCATCACTTTGTACAGTGGTCACCCCAGTTTCATCAACATTCCATATGTCTCCTGGTCCAAACTCATATTTCTGTTTCACTTTGTCTACATTGTGGAAGAAAACATTTTCTCTGTTGAAGTTACTTGCCCTGGCAAGGCTAGTTTCTCAGCGACAGCATTGTGTTCCTCTTTAGTAAACCTGTAAACCATTCTTTGCTGGCCTTTTCCGTTTGTGCCCACAGAGGTGCCAACTTCAGCTGGTATGCCACAGCACACCAGTAGGCAAATCTTTTAACGTCACTTGGCGACAGATCAAAATAAATGTCAGCTGACCTAGTAATATATTCAACAAGCTGCTTCTACAAATCAGGTGAAAAACTCTTTTGTGGTGTTTTATAATCAAACGTTGTTGTTGTCATGGCTGTCTGACTTTCAGTTTCTTCTCTGGGAATCTTATGACCGTACCAAGTCAGAATATGCTCATTTAATAAATTACAGGCTTATTATGCTGTCTACTGTGCTTGTTGCCAACATTCATAACACCACACTAAATTAACTGTTAACTGCTGAATTGCTGAAGTAGTGTGTGTGGCCATTAACACACAACATGCCTACTGTATATCCTGACATGCACACACACACCTGCTTCATACAGTGCTGCAGCTATAATATTCTCTTTACAGTATATTTTAATACTATTGCCAGAGCAAATAACTCAATATCACAGTGTTTTTTGAGCATGTTATATGTGTCTATTTGTATTGTCAAAGTCATTGAGATAACTTGCCCCAAACTGACATGAGTGCTAATTTTAACATAGCACTTCAGCTAAAGTAGCCTATCAAAAGACATGTTATTGTCTCCTCTACTGTCAACAAAATTATTATTTTGCACAGTCACACCTAACTAAGTTGGATTGTATATAATGTAAAGTGCAAATGTTTTTCTTCTGAAGCAAAGAAATGAGAAAACTGTGCTCACCTCAGATTAGAGTGACCTTGACCACATGTGAACAGGAAGTTGACCATAGAACAAGAAGTCACACAAACTGGCTATTTGATTCTTAAGAGGGAGCTTCTAGTGTTGGAGTTATGAACCATGTGACAACTTGCACATGAGACAACTTACCCCGCTCTCCCCTACTAGGCAGCCGATGATAGAGAAGCCTGGTTCATTGAAAACTTCCTTCACTGTGCCCAGGTGGTTGTGCCCCTTGATGGTCTGCACCCTGACGACTTGTCCCTCTGTAAGCAGCTGTGGTGGGCGGCGTGATGCATCATAGTATCGCTTTGAATGAGTATTTTATTCTGGAGAGGGGCAGTGACCTGCTTTGTGTTATCCTGGGCTGGCTCTAACAGTGCTGACAGGAAGATTTGAGCCTGTCTGTTGTAACATCAGACATTCTGCAGGTGAGTCCAATGATTTGCCACTGGGAATGTTTCTGATGTTCAGCAGATTGAGGAAAACATCAATCCCATCTCTGTGAGATTTTTCCATCATTGGTTTGGCACTGCAGGCTGCCATTTCTGCCAGTCTATTTGACTGTGGCTACTCCGGGTTGCTGGTAATGTGGATGTCCCACTGCTTGCTTTATCTCTCGTTCCCGGTCAAGCACTTTTTTTAGGTTGGCATTGTGTTCTGCAGCATCACGCCCTCCTATGATGATGTCATCCACTGTTACAGACTACAGACTACAAAATTCATGTGGCCAATGACAATTCATAATATAAAAATTATTTAAATATAATGCAGTAATCAGTAGCTTGTTTTTTGACCCAAGTTACCTTGTTTTTGGACAAGGCAGATCTCTTTCTTCTATTTACATTGCAGAGCATTTTTTCCTATTGTGCAAGTAAACCTTTCTCTGTTTATTTTTTATTTAACACCTTTGTTCTGCATACTGTCACGCTTTGACTCGTGCTTGCATTGCCACCAGGATGCAGTGTGCTGGAGGAACTACTGGTTGTACAGTTGGATCCAGTGTCATGGAGTATGTGATGGGAAGTACTCCAAACTCGTCACTGAACACATCTTTGTATTGTGCGTGAATCTGTTTTGAAAATTGGCATTGTTCTCGGTGCTGTTTGTGTAGTGGTTGTTTAGTTTCCCCAAAATACAAGTCTGTGCACAGACCTGTATATAGGGGAAAACACTCTTGGATATAATACATAATAGTGCACTTGGGTTCTGTGGAGAACAGTAAAAATGGATTCTCATGAACTTCCACTAAAGGTTGAACGGTGGTCAATGGATAGATAACATTGTAAATGGCATCATATTATCAAGAGCTGTGATTCTGGTGGAGCTGAGGAACCGGTCGGACACCGGCCAGGCCAACAGATCACCCCAGACCACCATACTGCCAGATCTGAGGTAAGCCTTCTCACTGTTTCTTTTTCTATCATTTTGTTAGTAATTATAAAACGAGATTTTCTTGTGTCACATTTGACCTCAAAATATTACCACATTCAGTTCCTTAAATAATCTAAGTACTTGTTGTATGTAACAAGGTAAGATTAAATGTGTTGTATTTTCATCTAGAAATGTTGGGTTGGGTGTTATGTTTAGTCCATTATCTTCACACACTAACTCCAAACCTGTCATCATTTACATTGTCAGCAGTCCCTTGGTGAAAACATTGAGAAAGCAAGTCAGGTTAAATGCACTCTAATTTAAATAGAATGATAAAATACCTCCAACATTTACTCTGGCACAGATATGTTGGCTAACTCATTCATGCTTTACATGGAAACTAACGCAAGGGGTTGAAAAATGCCAAAATGACCTCTGACGTTCTCTCTCTCTCTCTTCTCTCTCTCTCTCTCTCTCTCTCTCTCTCTCTCTCTCTCTCTCTCAGAGTTCCTTCAAACTGTCAGACAGATTTCAACCTGTTGGCATTTGACCCTGATGGAGATGAAGTTAAATGCAGATATGGAAACACAAGACTCTCGGAGTGTGACCCCTGCACACCACCGTCTGTTCTTACCCTCTCATCAGTGAGTCACCAAAGTCCACAGTAACTCATATTTAAATGAAATTAATGGTTCAGAAGTATGTGACGAAGTAGGAGACCATACACAGCCTGTAAATTAATTAAGTTTAATTATATATATAATATAATATATATAATAATTATATATAATTAATTAAGAAAGTATTACAATAAGGTGTGTCTGTGAGCAGGTTAGTATGTATGACATGTGTGAGTGGTGAGGAGCAGGGGCGTTTCGAGGCATTTCCCAGCCCAATTAAGTCTGTCAAGCAGTAAATGACCCTGCCTATGAATCATGGCACTGTCGCCTCGTGGGTTCAAACCCCGGTTGCCCCGGCCTTTCTGTGTGGAGTTTGCATGTTCTCCCCGTGTCTGCGTGGGTTCTCTCCGGGTACTTCGGCTTCCTCCCACCATCCAAAGACATGCAGTCTAGGTTAATTGGCGACGCTACAATGTTGTTGAGTGTGAGCGTGAGTGGTTGTTTGTCTATGTGTGGCCCTGCGATGGACTGGCGACCTGTCCAGGGTGTACCCCGCCTTGCGCCCGATGTCAGCTGGGATTGGCTCCAGCCCCCCCACGACCCTGTATGCAGGATAAGCGGTGGACGATGGATAGATGGATAGAATAATTAACACTGATAATATTAATGGGGGGGGGCTCTGTGTTTCAGCAGGTTTTCTTCTAATGTTCAAAACTTTCTGCACATTCAGAATCTCTCCCACATCTGTGTTCTAGGTCATTTGCAGAATAATATTTTGAGACAAAGGTTGTAATATTCTGAGAATAAAATCTGGGTCTGCCAGACACAGAGCCCATCTGGGACTGTACTCGATGAGACCAGCACAATGCTCTTCATCAGAGGTAGAAAACCGAAACTGAAAACAGAAATCCACACAAATGTAAACTTCAGCGCCTCCAATAAAGTACAGCTCAAGGCCACTTAGGAGGGAAACATCCTGGAGCAGAGATAAAGTCAAACAGAGCAAAGGTCTCAAGGGGGACAGCAACAGGTGTCTGTGTCACAGTCAGCTGTGTCATGTTATTCTCTCACTACTTTGAGGCAGACTGGTAACCATTTCTGTAGCAAATACATTGACTAGACACTGATTGACAACATTTATATAAATGTTTTGATTCCAACTTTAAATGCAGGCAGCCTGAGTAACAGTGGGGGGTTACGTTATGTGAACTTCAAACAAAATGTAGAAATATTATTACGAGTAGCCTCGAAGAACTGCAAGACAGGCTGCGTTATAAAGATTATTGCATAGCGGGCATGTTTGGACTATTTGTAGTAGCTTGTTTCTTAATTCACCTTTTTAATTATACTTCATTCTCCCTTATTTAAGTGTCACTCACTTATTGAATCTGCCTCCTTCAGTTCTCTTAACACTCAAAGACCTAACATACCTCTGTTGCAAACACATCAGTGTGCCCCGCTTATTTTCTCTTTCTGTCTCTCCTTCCCTGTATGTCTGCTCCGGTGACTTTCTCAGTCAATAGTAGGTTACGTTATATAAAGTCACTGGGGGAAAAAACAAACTTGTCTTCTGGACATTTCTTTCCGCGGTTCCATTCACAGCAACAGCTGTGCCACATGTTGAGGAGGTGTGTTGACGACGTAGCCTATCAAAACAAAACCAACGTGGTAGCTAACGCATGACATCAGACTGGTGTGTTCAATGTCACTTTACCTGGTCCGCTCTTGTGAAATATCCACAGTGTCGCGACTTGTAACGTAATCACCGTGTTTCTCTGATGCTACAATGTGTCTCCTAACCCGGCGGACCGCCAAAATAAAGTGCACTGTATGTGTGGGAAACACTGACTGAACCGTTGGTTTTCTTTTTACAAGCCAGGTCTTTGGCAGTGTTGACCGGCACTTTGTCTCCCTCCATGTTGTTAGAGAGTTCGTGAGTAGACTGCTTAGACAGTATATTACTGGACAAAGCCACGCAATTTTGAATGTAGAGCAGTGAAGCCAGTTTTGGACCAGTAAAATACTACAGCAGCATAAGCCCTCCATGCAGGCTTTGGTCGGCTTCACTGGTTCAACTGTGGCTTACCTCCTTGGTAGACAGCTGCGTGCAGATGCAGAGGGAGGGGTGGGGCTGTGTGGTGAGGGAGAGACACGAGCAAATGCTGGCAGGAAACATAAAAAAATTAACTCAATATCAAACTATATCGGTATAAACGTTATTGTCTAATTTTATATCTCTTTTGAAATTATTTCCGTATACCTTATTATACCAATATACCGGCCAGCTCTAAGCTCCACCCATCAACTTCCTGGAATGAAGAAGAAAAAACAAGATGATAGGGCCAACCCTGATGCCATCACATAATCATCTTGTGCTTTATATACAGTATGTGACCTCTTGTCCCTTTTTGTCCTCTTGCAGTCTTGCACTTTGTCATTCAGCCCCACTAATACCAGTAATCAAGGTCTATACGCCGTACAGCTGGTTATGGAGGACTTTCCCACGCAGAATATCACCCTGACTCCAACTCTCGGGGTGCAGACGACAATAACTACCAACAGCGCTATAAGCAAACTACCTGTTCAGTTTGTTTTTAATGGTAAGACCTTGTTTTGGCTGTGTGCCATTGTTTAGCTGTGCTGAAGTTAGAAATAATCTCATAAGTTTCAGTAGAATCAGTTTAGTAACATGTATATTATCAAAGTTGTTTGTCAACAGTTATAGTCTCACCAAAACTAGATAAATATGTATATAATTGACAAGGTAATGACAATTTTCCTGTTTTATATGCTGATGTTTAGAAGGTACCCATGTTTCACATACGTATTAGCTTTCTATCGTAACATTTTCTATTTTCCCAAAACTTTATGGCAATTCAACAGTTGCTGAGATATTGTAGTCTAGACTAAAGTGGTGCAGAGACTGATGGATGGAGGGACCAATCGCTATTGCCATCCTGAGAAAACGTCTGTATGGATAAAATTTTTGCTTTTCTTATTGTTCCAGTGGACGCTGCGGTGCCATCCTGCACAGAGGGACTATATTTGCCCAAGTTTCTGCATCCATCCCCAGCCAACAGAGCTCAGCTGTATACCCCCATCAATCAGGCTCTAGAAATCAGCATCAATGCAACAGCAAACATATCCACGTAAGTCAAAAATAAACGCTCTTTTAAAAGAAGGTAGTTATACCGCAGATGAATGATGGCCTGCGAAACTTTCTCTGGTAAGATAAGAAATACTGATCCACACAAGGAAATCAGGCATACAAATGTTTTTCATTTGCCATGGTTTTCAGGTCCACAAAGACTCTTGTGTTGTGTAACAGGTTTGGCAAGAGTGCAACAAGTGTACAGAACCAACTGTATAGTGCATTAGTATACACACACTGTAGGTTAAGTATAGACAGCAGAGTGCATTCAAAGCCAGGCTTAGAGTTTTAAAGGTTCAGTGTGTAAGATCTGAGGTTGCGAATTGCAACAAACTGTCTAGTTTACCACTCCACTGCCCCCCATTTCAAAGAGCGTAGGATAGCTATGGTGGTTGACACAGGACAAAAGGTGTCGTCTTCTGAGACAGCAGAGGGTAGCCAGTCAAGAAATTAGGTTTCTTTAGGTAGATATATTTAGAAATTATATTTGCTTTATTATTCAGTAAAACCATATGTTATTGCAACTTGGCCACTGACAGATAACATTGAAGATGTAAGCCAAGTGTGTAACATTGTGTCTGCACCACAGTCCATTATAAACCACATAACAGATAAAGTTTACAAAGGAATTTTACAACATTCATTCTCTCATTGATCATGGATCCTCACCAAAACTGCCGTAATACTCACATAATCACTTCCTCTTTAGTGGTTTTGCCTGCAAAATAAAAGTGCAAGAATGTTTTTTGCAGCAATGCTGTTAGGATTTTGGATTTCTATTCATGTTTTTTCCTGTTTTAGTCCGTTATGTTGGGTTTTGTTTTTGTGTTCTTGTTCTTACTGTTTCCTGTCTTGTTTGGTTTTGATCTGTGCATGCATTTCATTCTGTTATTATCTGGTGTTTATTTCATGCTTGGTTGCATTCTGCCTGTCTGCTCTGTATAGTTTAGTTCTCCGCAAGTTTTGTTTATTGGTCAGTTCTGTAACTGTTATTTGGTCTGTTGTGTTTTGGTTTTCAGTCCTGTCTGTTGTCTTGATATCAGTCTGTTCAGTGTTTCTTGTTTCAGTCTGTTTACGTGGTTTAGGGTTTTTATTCCTCTGTTCTGCTTTGTTATGTTTATTGTTGCATGTTCAGCCCTGTTCAGTTATTTCTGTTCAGTCTTGCCTTGGCCCATTATGTGTTTCACTCCCTGCCACTGTGTTCTAATTCACTGTTCTTGTTTAGGTTTTGTCTGTTATGCATGTGTTCTGTGATATTGTGTTACTTCTGTCCTGGTCTGTTGGTGCATGCTTTACTTCCTGGTTAATTTTGTAGTAGTCAGTGTCTGTTGTCTTGTTCCTGTTTCTGATTAGTCCCTCATGTCTTTCACCTGTTGACTCCCTCCCTGCTCATTAGCCCTAGTACTTAATGCCTGTATTCTGTTCAGTCTTTGTCGGTTTATTGTAGCTTGTTGATGCTCTGTCACATGTGTTTGTCTATGCTTCGTGTTCCTGTCTTCCTAGCCTTTTTGTGGATTATTGTTTTATATCGCTTTCCTTGGATTTGTCTTGTACTTAGCCACTGCTCTGGCATTCTGTGTTGGGGTCCTCATCCTCCTGAGCTCTGACAAATGCTTTCTTTCAAGTTGATTTGAGAGCTTTTACTTTGAAATCTTCTGAACGACATTTAAAAGAGTCTGTAGCCTGCTTGACACACCTCTGAAAGAGCCGTCAGAAAATGTGATTCCCCTAAATGTCCTCTGACTGGAGACACTGGGGAAATGAAAAGGTGTCTGTAGGTTATTATTTGGATCAAACGCCGAAAAACACACACATTATGTAAGGTCTTTATTCGCCACTGAAAACTGTTGAGTCAAAAGAAGCTTATAGGACTCATCAAAAATCACCCTGCAGCTGTCAATGAAGAAAACAACATTAAAAATTAGGAGGGAACACCCCAGCAGGAGAATTTGAATCATGGTGTCATGGAAAATTTGCTACATTTGTGACTGGGGAGGTTTTTGGAAATGCTTTTTTAACTTACCAAGCCTTTTATTCTTCTGTTTTTTAAAGGATTTCTGAGCTGCTGTTCAGTGGGCCGAAGAACACAAACCAGACTACATTAGGAGCTGGACAGTACATCCTGAGCTGGACGCCATCTGAAAACCAAGATGGAGAAAGCCACCCCATCTGTTTTGTGGTCCAGGCACTTTTCAAGTCAGTCACATTTTCTATAAACATTACCTTAGAGCAATGTATATGGAAAAACTGTAGCAATACCTTAAATTAAAAACTATGAACTGTGTTTTTATGACAAAGGTCTTTCAGTAATATGCATATATCCAGTTATAATATAGTTATTATAATAAGTATAATAACAGAAAGAAAGGAGTTCTGGAAATAGTTTCCTAAATGAGAATGGGAAACGTTATCGTTTAAATTTTTACCATTTTAAAATCCACTCTGTACTCTTAATGCAGTATGACGCTACAGCCAGGAGCTGCTTAGCTTAGCATAGAGTAAAGATTGGAAACAGCTAACCTTACTCTATCCACAGGTTTAAAAATATCCACCTTTCAGAAACTTTAGTCAAATTCTTATCTGTAAGAAAGAAAATATGCATATTTCCCAAAATGATGCCTAACCGGGGATATCATAGCATCAGCATCTTAACTGAGAACACAATGCTGTAATCCTGTCCACAAATGTATCGACCTGCTATCCCATAGTGTCAGTGGTCTTTGCTTATATTTGTCATTTTTAACTCACCTGAGCAGCCTATGGGCTGGATGTTTAGATGCTAATGTCTTACCTAGCATAGTAGAGGCGTGAGGATACATACATAATATTTTAAGTGGAGACAGTCAGCCTGTACACATACAAAACTCAAGAAAACTAGCTTATGTAATAGCCTTGAGCCAGCTGCTGTAACCCTGACAGGGAAAGAGAATGAGGCAAAGTGCTATATTTAAGGACTGTACTTCTAGGCCCGCAAGTGACCTCGAGTGTGACTTGTGTATGACCCTCACAATGTATGTTTTATGTGAGACAATTACATGTGCGTGCTGATGGGAAGAAAATCCTCCTTGAGCAAGATGGACTGAAATCTATAAAAAAAAATATTTGTAAATAAGCTACTGTTACATTTTTTCAAAATTTGAGAAAGGAGAAGCTGGGTTCGATGAAAATTAACAAGAAAATTTAATTTAAAAATAGGTGAATAAAAGATGGCATTACAGAACAAACATAAAACAAAAACACTGCAGTGGACTGGAAAGTTGTTCCTCTTTCAGATTTACAGCTTACAGTCCTGATTCTCAAAAAATGAGTTGTTTATATCCTCCAGGTATGTGGGCGTGTCCTTTTTCTTCCACATGGCTTAGGTCCATAGTCATTGGTCATTTGGTTAGCTTCTTCGTCACCCAATTAGGAAGGGTGTACCTTACTGTTCTTTGTTACTTTTGGTCAAACAAGAGAGCGCCGATCCCAACTAGTCATACAGCACAACAGGGGTTGTCTCCAAAACGGTCGACACCCAATCTTAGATGTCTATGAAAAAGTTAAACGTTAAAAGAATCCTTCTGGCACTTAAACAAAGAGGTGTCAGTTTCCTTCACATTGCAAAGAGGAGATGAACAATGGTTTAATTAAGTTTTAATATAATTTGTCTGGCCTAAAACCACCCAGTATTACATTTGAAAAAACACTGAAATACATTTGGTAAAAACTTTGTTGTAAAAATCTAAACTCTACACTACCATGTTTATTTATTTCAACAGTTTAGTCAAGTATCACTCAGAGCTACGGTGTGTCATTGTCAGTGTTGGAAACAGTGAGTATGGTTCTACTTCTTCCTTGTTTTTTTTATGTTTTAAAACCTACTTGTGATTTCCTGGATTATGAAGTTCACTTGCAATCTTTTATATTCACTTCTGTTTGCAGACCCAACAACTACACCAGTACCTACAACATCCATGCTTACACAAACTACAACTACCGCACAAACTACAGCTACTATTTTCTCCTCAACTACCCCACTAACCACTACCTCACCAGTTACAACAACCGCACCAACTACAGCCATCACTACATCAACTACTACAATCATCACTACACAAGCCACACAAAGCATAACCACCATTCCTTCAACACAAACTACAACCACAAGTGCTTCAGCAACTACCCCATCAACTACACCTATCACAACAATAACGACACAAAGCACAACCACCATTCCCTCAACAACTACCCAACTAACCACAGCAACCACCACCACACCAATTACAACCACACAAACTACAGCCAACATTGTATCATCAACCACAACTACCACACAAACTACTACAACCATTCCCCCAACAACTATCCCAGCAACTACAACCATAACTACACCAACCACAACTACACCAACTACAACAACCACACAAACAACCACTATTGCTTCAACAATAACCCCACCAACCACAGTCACCACTACAACAACCACACAAAGCACCACCACCGTTCCCTCAACAACTACCCAACTACCCGCAGCAACCACCACCACACCAATTACAACAACTACACAAACTACAACTAACATGGTATCAACAACAACCGCACCAACTACACCAATCACCACACCTACTCTACCTACCACACAAACTACTACAACTATACCCCCAACCACTACACCAACTACAACTACCATTCCGTCAACAACGCAAACACCAACTATTAGTTCAACTACCCCACCAACTACTACAACCATTCCCCCAACAACTATCCCAGCAACTACAACCATAACTACACCAACCACAACTACGCCAACTCCAACACCCACGCAAACAAACACTATTCCTTCAACAACCACCCCACCAACTACAGCCACCACTACAACCACACAAAGCACCACCACCGTTCCCTCAACAAGTACCCAACTAACCTCAGTAACCACCACCACACCAATTGCAACAACTGCACAAACTACAACTAACATAGTATCAACAACGATGCCACCAACTACACCAAACACTACACCTACTCTACCTACCACACCAACTACTACAACCATACCCCCAACCACTACACAAACTACAACTACCATTCCGGCAACAACTACAATCATCACTACACCAACTCCAACAACAACGCAAACACCCACCATTAGTTCAACTACCCCACCAACTACTACAACCATTCCCCCAACAACTATCCCAGCAACTACAACCATAACTACACCAACCACAACTACGCCAACTCCAACACCCACGCAAACAAACACTATTCCTTCAACAACCACCCCACCAACTACAGCCACCACTACAACCACACAAAGCACCACCACCGTTCCCTCAACAAGTACCCAACTAACCACAGTAATCACCACCACACCAATTACAACAACTGCACAAACTACAACTAACATAGTATCAACAACAACCCCACCAACTACACCAAACACTACACCTACTCTACCTACCACACAAACTACTACAACCATACCCCCAACCACTACACCAACTACAACTACCATTCCATCAACAACTATGACAATCACTACACCAAGTCCAACAACAACGCAAACACTCACTATTAGTTCAAGTACCCCACCAACTACAGCCACCACTGCAGTCACACAAAGCACAACCACCATTCCCTCAACAACTATTCACCTAACCACAGCAACCACCACCACACCAATTACAACAACCGCACAAACTACAACTAACCTGGTATCAACAACAACCCCATCAACTACAGCCAGCGTTACACCAACTACAACTAACACACAAACTACAAACACCATTCCCTTAACGACTACAGCCATTACTACACCAACTGCAACAACCACACAAACTAGTACAACCATTCCCTCAATGACTACAACCATCACTACACAAACCACGCAAAGCATAACCACCATTCCTTCAACATCTACCCCACTAACCACAACGGCCACTACGACAACAACACAAACTACAACCACCACTGCTTCAACAACCTCCATGCCAACTACAACCACCACCACAACCACAGAAAGCACAATCACCATTCCCTCAACAACTACCCAACTAACCCCAGTAACCACCACCACACCAATTTCAACAACCGCACAAACTACAACTAACATTGTATCAACAACAACCCCACCAACTACACCAATCGCTACACCATCTACCACACAAACTACTACAACCATTCCCCCAACAACTATCCCAATAACTACAACCATAACTACGCCAACTCCTATACCCACACAAACAACAACTATTGCTTCAACAACTAGCCCACCAACCACAGTCACCACTACAACAACCACACAAAGCACCACCACCATTCCCTCAACAACTACCCAACTAACCACAGCAACCACCACCACACCAATTACAACAACCACACAAACTACAGCCAACATTGTATCAACAACAACCCCACCAACTACACCAATCACTACACCAACTTCAACTACCACACAAACTACAACCACCATTCCCTTAACGACTGCAGCCATTACTACACAAACCACGCAAAGCATAACCACCATTCCTTCAACATCTACCCCACTAACCACAACAGCCACTACGACAGCAACACAAACTACAACCACCACTGCTTCAACAACTACCCTGCCAACTACAGCCACCACAACAACAACCACAGAAAGCACCACCACCATTCCCTCAACAACTACCCAACTAACCCCAGTAACCACCACCACACCAATTTCAACAAACGCACAAACTACAACTAACATTGTATCAACAACAACCCCACCAACTACACCAACTCCAACTACCACACAAACTACTTCAACCATTCCCTCGATGACTACAACTATCGCTATACCAACTGCAACAACACAAACTACAACCACCACTGCTTCAACAACCTCCATGCCAACTACAACCACCACCACAACAACCACAGAAAGCACAACCACCATTCCCTCAACAACTACCCAACTAACCTCAGTAACCGCCACCACACCAATTTCAACAACTGCACAAACTACAACTAACATTGTATCATCAACAACCCCACCAACTACACCAATCACTACACCAACTCCAACTACCACACAAACTACTTCAACCATTCCCTCAATGACTACAACTATCACTACACCAACTACAACACAAACTACATCCACCACTGCTTCAACAACCTCCATGCCAACTACAACCACCACCACAACAACCACAGAAAGCACCACCACCATTCCCTCAACAACTACCCAACTAACTACACCAATTTCAACAACCGCACAAACTACAACTAATATTGTATCAACAACAACCCTACCAACTACACCAATCACTACACCATCTACCACACAAACTACTACAACCATACCCCCAACAACTATCCCAATAACTACAACCATAACTATACCTACTCCTATACCCACACAAACAACAACTATTGCTTCAACAACTAGCCCACCAACCACAGTCACCACTACAACAACCACACAAAGCACCACCACCATTCCCTCAACAACTACCCAACTAACCACAGTAACCGCCACCACACCAATTTCAACAACCGCACAAACTACAACTAATATTGTATCAACAACAACCCCATCAACTACACCAATCACTACACCAACTTCAACTACCACACAAACTACTACAACCATTCCCTCAATGACTACAACCATCACTACACAAACCACGCAAAGCATAACCACCATTCCTTCAACATCTACCCCACTAACCACAACAGCCACTACGACAGCAACACAAACTACAACCACCACTGCTTCAACAACTACCCTGCCAACTACAGCCACCACAACAACAACCACAGAAAGCACCACCACCATTCCCTCAACAACTACCCAACTAACCCCAGTAACCACCACCACACCAATTTCAACAAACGCACAAACTACAACTAACATTGTATCAACAACAACCCCACCAACTACACTAACTCCAACTACCACACAAACTACTTCAACCATTCCCTCAATGACTACAACTATCACTACACCAACTACAACACAAACTACAACCACCACTGCTTCAACAACCTCCCTGCCAACTACAACCACCACAACAACAACCACAGAAAGCACCACCACCATTCCCTCAACAACTACCCAACTAACCCCAGTAACCACCACCACACCAATTTCAACAAACGCACAAACTACAACTAACATTGTATCAACAACAACCCCACCAACTACACCAACTCCAACTACCACACAAACTACTTCAACCATTCCCTCAATGACTACAACTATTACTACACCAACTACAACACAAACTACAACCACCACTGCTTCAACAACCTCCCTGCCAACTACAACCACCACCACAACAACCACAGAAAGCACCACCACCATTCCCTCAACAACTACCCAACTAACCACAGTAACCGCCATCACACCAATTTCAACAACCGCACAAACTACAACTAACATTGTATCAACAACAACCCCACCAACTACACCAATCGCTACACCATCTACCACACAAACTACTACAACCATTCCCCCAACAACTATCCCAATAACTACAACCATAACTACGCCAACTCCTATACCCACACAAACAACAACTATTGCTTCAACAACTAGCCCACCAACCACAGTCACCACTACAACAACCACACAAAGCACCACCACCATTCCCTCAACAACTACCCAACTAACCACAGCAACCACCACCACACCAATTACAACAACCACACAAACTACAGCCAACATTGTATCAACAACAACCCCACCAACTTCACCAATCACTACACCAACTTCAACTACCACACAAACTACAACCACCATTCCCTTAACGACTGCAGCCATTACTACACAAACCACGCAAAGCATAACCACCATTCCTTCAACATCTACCCCACTAACCACAACAGCCACTACGACAGCAACACAAACTACAACCACCACTGCTTCAACAACTACCCTGCCAACTACAGCCACCACAACAACAACCACAGAAAGCACCACCACCATTCCCTCAACAACTACCCAACTAACCCCAGTAACCACCACCACACCAATTTCAACAAACGCACAAACTACAACTAACATTGTATCAACAACAACCCCACCAACTACACCAACTCCAACTACCACACAAACTACTTCAGCCATTCCCTCGATGACTACAACTATCGCTATACCAACTGCAACAACACAAACTACAACCACCACTGCTTCAACAACCTCCATGCCAACTACAACCACCACCACAACAACCACAGAAAGCACAACCACCATTCCCTCAACAACTACCCAACTAACCTCAGTAACCGCCACCACACCAATTTCAACAACCACACAAACTACAACTAACATTGTATCATCAACAACCCCACCAACTACACCAATCACTACACCAACTCCAACTACCACACAAACTACTTCAACCATTCCCTCAATGACTACAACTATCACTACACCAACTACAACACAAACTACATCCACCACTGCTTCAACAACCTCCATGCCAACTACAACCACCACCACAACAACCACAGAAAGCACCACCACCATTCCCTCAACAACTACCCAACTAACTACACCAATTTCAACAACCGCACAAACTACAACTAATATTGTATCAACAACAACCCTACCAACTACACCAATCACTACACCATCTACCACACAAACTACTACAACCATACCCCCAACAACTATCCCAATAACTACAACCATAACTATACCTACTCCTATACCCACACAAACAACAACTATTGCTTCAACAACTAGCCCACCAACCACAGTCACCACTACAACAACCACAGAAAGCACCACCACCATTCCCTCAACAACTACCCAACTAACCACAGTAACCGCCACCACACCAATTTCAACAACCGCACAAACTACAACTAATATTGTATCAACAACAACCCCATCAACTACACCAATCACTACACCAACTTCAACTACCACACAAACTACTACAACCATTCCCTCAATGACTACAACCATCACTACACAAACCACGCAAAGCATAACCACCATTCCTTCAACATCTACCCCACTAACCACAACAGCCACTACGACAGCAACACAAACTACAACCACCACTGCTTCAACAACTACCCTGCCAACTACAGCCACCACAACAACAACCACAGAAAGCACCACCACCATTCCCTCAACAACTACCCAACTAACCCCAGTAACCACCACCACACCAATTTCAACAAACGCACAAACTACAACTAACATTGTATCAACAACAACCCCACCAACTACACCAACTCCAACTACCACACAAACTACTTCAACCATTCCCTCAATGACTACAACTATCACTACACCAACTACAACACAAACTACAACCACCACTGCTTCAACAACCTCCCTGCCAACTACAACCACCACCACAACAACCACAGAAAGCACCACCACCATTCCCTCAACAACTACCCAACTAACCACAGTAACCGCCATCACACCAATTTCAACAACCGCACAAACTACAACTAATATTGTATCAACAACAACCCCACCAACTACACCAATCGCTACACCATCTACCACACAAACTACTACAACCATTCCCCCAACAACTATCCCAATAACTACAACCATAACTACGCCAACTCCTATACCCACACAAACAACAACTATTGCTTCAACAACTAGCCCACCAACCACAGTCACCACTACAACAACCACAGAAAGCACCACCACCATTCCCTCAACAACTACCCAACTAACCACAGCAACCACCACCACACCAATTACAACAACCACACAAACTACAGCCAACATTGTATCAACAACAACCCCACCAACTACACCAATCACTACACCAACTTCAACTACCACACAAACTACAACCACCATTCCCTTAACGACTACAGCCATTACTACACCACCTTCAACAACCGCACAAACTACAACTAATATTGTATCATCAACAACCCCACCAACTACACCAATCACTACACCAACTCCAACTACCACACAAACTACTTCAACCATTCCCTCAATGACTACAACTATCACTACACCAACTACAACACAAACTACATCCACCACTGCTTCAACAACCTCCATGCCAACTACAACCACCACCACAACAACCACAGAAAGCACAACCACCATTCCCTCAACAACTACCCAACTAACCACACCAATTTCAACAACCGCACAAACTACAACTAATATTGTATCAACAACAACCCTACCAACTACACCAATCACTACACCATCTACCACACAAACTACTACAACCATACCCCCAACAACTATCCCAATAACTACAACCATAACTATACCTACTCCTATACCCACACAAACAACAACTATTGCTTCAACAACTAGCCCACCAACCACAGTCACCACTACAACAACCACACAAAGCACCACCACCATTCCCTCAACAACTACCCAACTAACCACAGCAACCACCGCCACACCAATTACAACAACCACACAAACTACAGCCAACATTGTATCAACAACAACCCCATCAACTACAGCCAGAGTTACACCAACTGCAACAACCACACAAACTACTACAACCATTCCCTCAATGACTACAACCATCACTACACAAACTACGCAAAGCATAACCACCATTCCTTCAACATCTACCCCACTAACCACAACAGCCACTACGACAGCAACACAAACTACAACCACCACTGCTTCAACAACTACCCTGCCAACTACAGCCACCACAACAACAACCACAGAAAGCACCACCACCATTCCCTCAACAACTACCCAACTAACCCCAGTAACCACCACCACACCAATTTCAACAAACGCACAAACTACAACTAACATTGTATCAACAACAACCCCACCAACTACACCAACTCCAACTACCACACAAACTACTTCAGCCATTCCCTCGATGACTACAACTATCGCTATACCAACTGCAACAACACAAACTACAACCACCACTGCTTCAACAACCTCCATGCCAACTACAACCACCACCACAACAACCACAGAAACTACAACTACCACTGCTTCAACAACTACCCTGCCAACTACAGCCACCACAACAACCACAGAAAGCACAACTACCGTTCCCTCAACAACTACCCAACTAACCACAGTAACTACCACCACACCAATTTCAACAACCGCACAAACTACAACTAACATTGTATCAACAACAACCCCACCAACTACGCCAATCACTACACCATCTACCACACAAACTACTACAACCATTCCCCCAACAACTACCCCAACAACTACAACCATAACTATGCCAAACACAACTACACCATCTCCTATACCCACACAGACAACAACTATTGCTTCAACAACTAGCCCACCAACCACAGCCACCACTACAACAACCACCACACAAACCACCACCACCATTCCCTCAACAACTACCCACCTAACCACAGCAACCACCACCACACCGACTACAACAACCACACAAACTACAGCCACCATTCCCTTAACGACTACAACCATCACTACACAAACCACGCAAAGCATAACCACCATTCCAACATCTACCCCACTATCCACAACAGCCACTACCACAACAACACAAACTATAACCACCACCACTTCAACAACTACCATGCCAACTACAACCGTCACCACACCAATTACAACAACCACACAAACTACAACTAACATTGTATCAACTTCAACTACCACACAAACTACTACAGCCATTCCCCAAATGACTGCAACTATCACTACACCAACTTCAACAACACAAACTACAACCACTACTGCTTCAACAATTACCATGCCAACTACAACCACCACTACACCGACTACAACAACCACACAAACTACAGCCACCATTCCCTTAACGACTACAACCATCACTACACAAACCACGCAAAGCATAACCACCATTCCAACATCTACCCCACTAACCACAACAGCCACTACCACAACAACACAAACTATAACCACCACCACTTCAACAACTACCATGCCAACTACAACCGTCACCACACCAATTACAACAACCACACAAACTACAACTAACATTGTATCAACTTCAACTACCACACAAACTACTACAGCCATTCCCCAAATGACTGCAACTATCACTACACCAACTTCAACAACACAAACTACAACCACTACTGCTTCAACAATTACCATGCCAACTACAACCACCACTACACCAACCACAACAACAACACAAAGCACGGCAACCATTCCCTCAATAACTACCCCATTATCCACAGCATCCACCATTGTACCAACTACAACAACAACAACAACAACAATTGCTTCAACCACTACACGACCAAATACAACTATCCCCACAACAACCACAACAACCCCACAAAGCACCTCACCTTTAATCTATTTTTTGTATATAAATCCAACAAACTCAACAGTAGCTACAACCTGCGTGCTCACCACCTCCTCAACAAGTACCCCACTAACCACAACAACTACCAATGCATCTGTAACTCCAGTCTCAAATCCATGTGAGTATGACAAAGACAGATAGAGAGGGTACATTGTACACACTGTTATCATCTATCAATGGAAATATCATGGAAATAAACATAGCAAAATGACAAGTGAGGTAGCTAAGTGAGAACAATAGTACTGTACTTAACTGCAAATGAAGCCCTCATCTACGAAAGCTGTAAAACTCTGTTTCAACACTCCTCTGGCCTGCATGATAATGTTGAGACACTGTGATTCTAGTTGTCATAGGTCTGAGAATGAGGATCTCCTCCTCATCTTCACTGTCTAAGGACTACATCAAGAATAACCTCATACAACAGGTCAGTCTTTTCTTATGTAATCAGAAATCCTGTCAAAGTGTAGTGAGTATGTCCTAGACTTAGTCGCTACTGGTTGCTAGTTTGGTTTATTGCTTCTAACATGTACTCAGAAAAACAATGTCCAGTCTTTTATTTCCTGTGTCCTTCACAGCGTACACTGACCACTTCCAATAAATAACACAAAGTCATTTAACATAAAATACAAACATAATCCGAGCACAGTTAAAACTGTTTGCTCCTCTTCTTCAATCAACAGTTGTTTGCATCAATACAGGAACTTAAATTACCTAAGGTCAGCATCGGCCTTAAAACCACAATCCAATATGCCCCCTGTGGCTTTGGAGGAAAACAACAAATATGGCTCCTACACAAAGCATCAGAGAACTGCACTTAATCTAGAGGGCGACAGTCAACATCAGAAAACTCACTCAACTAATGTGAAATTTATTTTGAGAATAACAGTATTACAACAGCAACCTGTTTTTATGTAAATTTTCAATATGGGCATAAAAAACTGAGCAACAATGTTGAAAAAAGTTTGTGTATCAATAAATGATACAGAAAGTTTAAATTCATGGAAGAAGGAAGATTGCACAAGTAGGCACGAGGGTGAATTAGCGGTGCTTAAAATGTTCTTTTGTTTTGAAAGCAGCCAGCGAGTATCAAAGACTTTCCAATGATGCATTTATCATCACATAACCTGCCATTTGACCTTTGGTGATGCACTCTGAATGTCTTTTATTTCTTTTATTTTGTTAAGTTTATTTCCTTATATCCATTTCTCCACTTAAAACAGAACCATAACATTTGCGAAAGCAGTAATCAAATCTCAGCGCCACTGTTTTTTTCTCTCCAGATTAGAGATGAACTGGTGAGACAAGGGCTACCATCAGACATCACTCTAAACCTCATGAGTAGTGTGGACCTTACGTCTACAACCACAGCAACTCCTGTTGTTTCAACATGAACATTTATTGACTCCTGCAGGGAAATTATATTTTCAGTTGCCTGCCAAAAATAATTGCAAGGTCTGCTATAACTTCATTGTTGAGCAAAAGTCTAAAGTTGAAAAGTTATGTTTATAAACTTAATCCACGATTAAATAAATATTTCTCAATTCTCATAAAGACACAATAAAATAAGTAATTAATTAATTTTGTTGAACCTTTTGTGGAGAAATATAACACAAGTAATGATATAAACAATTTCCATATTCCAGATCAGTTATTTGACTATATATGGGTTGTTGATTCAAATGTTGTTATTGATAATTATTTTCAGGGTCCTTTGAATAATGGTTTAGGTGTCTAGCCACTGTCTGAGCTTGATCTGAATATAAAAAATTATGTGACTGATGATAACAGAATTTGAAACAGGTTTATTGTTGAGTAAGCGTTCACATACAATGAATTTGAATTTGCCATGGTATTTAAAATTTTAAAATATATTTTAAATAGATATGTACAATATGCTTGAGATGTAAAGTTTGTGCAATTATGTGCAAAATACTGACTAAGGAATGTGCAAAGGTTCACAGTATAAAATGTAGAGAAAGTGAACAATGTAGAGCGTATACGTATATCCAATTTTTATATTTTTTTTTAATTGAAATCTTTATTTTTAAACATGCAAGAGAAAGTATATAAAAATTTTAAAAAATAGGAGAAAAAAACAACAGATGAGCAGCAAACAAAGTACCCTTCTTTCCTGTGTTAACATTCTTCTATCATATGTGCGAAAAGGAGTAGGAAGAGGTGAAACCTATGTACTCCTACCCTTTTAATTCTTACATTCCTTCAATTTACAATATTTATATTTATTATTATACATCCATATATATATATATATATATATATATACATACAAATACATACATACATATACACATGTTTATATGTTAAAGTTGCTCTGATCAGGATTTTTTGGGCCGATCACCGATTGCTGAAAGCAGTATCGGCCGATACCGATCACCAATCACTGGGTCTTTGGAGCCTTTTATTTATCATGTAGCATTATACAGTATATCAGCATCTTTATAAATTTACTACAGCCATAAAAACTGCAACAAAAAAGGCTGTAGCCAAAATATTTAGGAGATAAAGGAGCACAGGCATCATGAGTCGATGATAACCTCTGAAGTAGCTGCTTTTTCTTCTGGAAAGCTCAGGCTGGTTCTGTCAGGCTTTAGGGGTAAGAGAGAGGAGTGGAGAGAGGAGCAGAGAGAGGGAGAATGGCTACAGAGGGGAGTCAAAACTGCCTTCAGTGAGATTTTAAAATAAGGAAAATTTTTATAAATAAAAATAGGCTACAATGTAAATTCCATATTATATAGCGAATTGTTAATATTAAATAGGCTAATATTCATTATAATTTCATATGGTTTGCCATTAGTAGGCTATAGGCCTTATATCATGTCAGTGGATTGTTTTCATTTTCAGGTTTTTATTTGATTTCATAAAGGTTAAAAATACGGGAGATTTACAGGGAAACATTTAACTGATGGATACCGCGTGAGAACGGAAAATTACGAGAGTCTCGGGGGAAAACGGGAGGGTTGACATGAGAGGAGTAGAAAGAGGAGCAGGGTAATGAGGCTACATCCACACAGCTATGTTTTTAAAACAGTTTCATAACGAAACCGATCTTCTCCGTCCACAGCAGCGTTTCAGCTGCTTGTCAGAGTTTATCTCTGTCTATAGTAGAACGACTGAAAACACACATCTAGTGGCCGTTCAGGTAGCTACACAGACGATTTAGCGAAAGAAGAAAGTAATACAGACTAAGAACCACACCAGGCTTTTATTTTTTTTTATTTTTTTTTGCATTGACCGGCAACGAAGTGGAACTGTTACTGAAGTAACACGAGAGTACGAGAGACGGCGGCTGAAAACAGACTGGGAGTTGTTGCAAAGTAAATACTGTGTTATTTACACAGTACTTATATTTTAATAAAAATACCAAAACTAAAACTCTGTAAGTAGCGTGTTTTTGCTTTGCATGACTGATAAGACCGACTCACAAAGCCAAATGTGAGTGTGTGTAATGTTTTATATTAGTTTAGTCCTCTGTTTTGTTCATCGGGTCAGCAGCATTTTCAAACAAACATCTTCTGATTCACCGTTTTAATCTGGACGGGAGGCAGAAACGTAGCAAAAGGTCTCCGTTTTTGTAACGAAAACAGAGAGAGAGAGGCAGTCAGCTGATTGACTGGCACCGCTCTTTGCATCAGGAAACTCACACTCACGGATCAGTCTCTCTCTCTCTGCCTGATGTGTCTGTGTCGCTCACACAGCGTAGTGAAACATTTGTCTGGTATCAAGTATTGAAAATTTGTCTGGTATCAAGTATTGCATCATCTGATCGGCCTTTTTACTGATCAAACTAGTTAAAGCCATTATCGGCCGATTATGATCGGTGACAGATCGATCGGAGCACCCTTAATATATACACACACATATTTTTTTTATATACACAATATTAAAGTGACCACTGTTAAGTATTTATTTATGTAACCTCGATTATGTACTTATTCAAACAGAAAAAAATACAACAAAAAAAACAAACAAACAAAGGAGCACTCATAGTTTTACTACAATGCTTCTCGATACCTCCTGAAAATAATATCTTTTTGAAAAGGAATATGTTTGGGCATTGCTTTAGGTTCTCATTTAGTTTGTTCCACAATTTAACACTGCAAATTGATAAACATAATCTTTTCCTTGTTGTTCTAAATCTATTAGTCTTAAAATTTCCCCTTCCCTTAAATTGTACCCTCCCTCCCTCTCAGAGAACATCTTTTGTATATTCCTAGGCAGTAGGTTATTTCTTGCTTTGAACATGAATACTGCAGTTTGATATTCAATTAGATCATGGTATTTTAGCAATTTAGACTGTAGAAATAATGAATTTGTATGATCCTGAAATTGGACATTGTGAATGATTGTCATGGCTCTTTTTTGCATTATGACTAGTGGCTGTAGTGAATGTTGATAAGTGCTTCCCCCAAACCTCTACACAGTAATTCAAATACGGTAACAATAGTGAGCAGAACAAGATGCGAAATGATTTAAGATCCAGAATGTGCTTAGCTCTTAGGACTGCAATACTTCTGGACAGTTTGGTTTTGATGTGTTTTATGTGAGGCTTCCAACAAATCTTGTCATCTATTATCACTCCAAGGAATTTATTTTCATGTACTCTTTCTAAGTTAACACCCTCTATCTGTATCTGTGCTTGATGATTTGACTTACAGTTTCCAAATACCATGAATGTAGTTTTACTCAAATTTATTGATAACCTGTTTATGTCAAACCATTCTTTTATTTTCTTGAATGAAGAGATTGATTCCAAGAGTTGCTGTAAGCTGTCCAGCAACTCACATTTAAAACTATAGAAGTGGTACTATAGTACTTACAGTAGCAAGCACCAACAACTCATGAGTCTATTCTCAGTAGAATAAAAGGTTAGAAATGTGGGACTAAAAATGTATAGATTTTTTTCATAGCTATGTGTATGGGATAGGTTTATATTTTTATTTCAGTTCATTGTTGATTGGCTATACCACTGTTGTATGTATAATTTAAAGTTATTGTTATTTTATGTTAAAATGCATGTATTTTCTACCTCATGTCATATTGAATAAATACTCAAAATTTGCTAAATTAATTTTGTATATTTGTAATTTTGAATACTGTCATGGTCCAGCTGTGCCTCTCTGTCTCATTTCCTTTGTGTGTTCTGCTGTTTCTCTCGTCCCTGTTTTCTTGTCAGCTTCCCTGTTCATTTTGTTTGTGTGTGTGTGTGTGTGTGTGTGTGTGTGTGTGTGTGTGTGTGTGTGTGTGTGTGTGTGTGTGTGTGTGTGTGTATGTGTATGTGTGTGTGTGTGTGTGTGTGTGTGTGTGTGTGTGTTTGTCTTGGCGTTCCTGCTCATATGATACACACCTCCTGCACATCTGTGTCTCATCCACTAATCAAGACTCTGTATATCTACCTTGGTTCGTCACTCCAGTCTTTGCCAGATCATTCAGGTTGCCAGTGTGGTTCACTTTATCACAGTGTTGCCTGCCACCAGTCTCACTCTCCACTACTCCAGACGATACACCATTTCTTCAGGACAATGATGACCTATTATCCAAAGAAGAAGAGCACCAATGGATCTGTCACTGTAAATACTGGGCCATAAAATAGGGTTTACCAATAAGGGAGGTCCAATATTGTGTTTTCTTTAATCACAGCTTATTTACTGTAACCCTACAGTCATAAAAACAGTGGAAATGGCCCTAGCATCTATCGTGCACTACATAGAAATCCAGTAACTTTGTGGCTGTGTGTCTTTTGCCTGTAAACAGGAGATTCCAGCCATCAGCTTGATTAGAGTAAACTTTCATCAGCATTCCCTGTAAGAAATGACACAGTGAAATGTATCTCAAATGTAGCCTGCAGCTGTCATCACAGAACTATACTGCTGCAACGACATTTGCAGATTACATAATGAGCACTATTATTACTATATGACAATATAAAATACAGCAGATTAATACTGAATGCAGAGGATGCTCTGGTTGATATTGCAGTCTAAGATTTTGATGTCAGCAGCTGTTTGTACTCACGATTATAGCAGCTGAAATGGCATGATGCATGGATTGGCTCTGACATTTTCTGAAACCGCATGTCTACGTTCCTCATAGCTGGTTATGGCCATGTGATTAAATGATACAGTTGAAATTCATGGAATGAGAAAGCTTGTATAAGGAAGTAGGCTAGGAGGGTCATTTGCATAGCAGCGAGCAAGCAGTTTTGGTGAGTTTCTTGGTTTAGTTTACTTACTCAAATCCTGTTGTCCCATTTGACAATGTTACAGAGAACATCATATCTGAGAACATAGTGGTCACATCTCTGCACCACTGCCATTAGACATCCCTCTACACCTCGTGAGTAGTGTGAAACTGAAATCTACAACAATCACTCCATAGGGATGGTATGAGGTGACTGGACATAGGTACAAAAGGTTGGATTGGTGTGTGTGTGTGACTGTGTGTGTGTGTGTGTGTGTGTGTGTGTGTGTGTGTGTGTGTGTGTGTGTGTGTGTGTGTGTTTTATGTGTAGATTGAGGTGACCGAATGAGGGAATGAAAGTGTGCATATTTGTATATCTGTATATGTAAATGTTTTTTTCTGTCAATATGAAACTAAAAAGGAAATCTACAACCACAGTGACCTCTGCTGTTTAAACATCAACATTTATTGACAAACTCCAGGAAACTGTGTTTTTCATTGCCTGCCAAACATAACTCCAAGGTCAGCTGCTCCAACTTCACAGTTAAGCAAACTGCTTCTAAAAAGCATTGTTTGGAAAAGTTATTGTTACAAAATAAACATTCCTTAATTTTCATAAAGTTTTCAGATTTAGTGTGTGAGCAGAATGTGGTTGTAATGATGAGCTTCCACGTGTAAATATTTGACTGTATTAATGTAAAAGCAGGTTCCTGTTGTAGAACAAAATGTTTTTGTTGCCTTTGATTTACCTACTAATCAGCTCTAAACCTAAACTAAACTATAACTCATTTGAAAGTCTTGTTCTTAGTCTTTCGCACCCAAGTCGGAAATCACTGCAACCAATTCTTTTTGTTAAGGTGTACCGAGCACCTGGCCCGTACTCTGAATTCTTATCTGAATTTGCAGAGTTTTTGTCAACTTTAGTCCTTAAAACGGACAAAGTTATTATTGTAGGAGATTTTAATATTCATGTGGACGTTGAGAATGACAGCTTCAGTACTGCGTTTATCTCTTTGTTAGATTCCATCGGCTTCTCTCAGAGTGTTCATGAACCAACTCACTGTTTTAACCACACCCTCGACCTTGTTTTGGTGTATGGTATTGAAATTGAACATTTAGTGGTGTTCCCACAGAATCCCTCTTTATCTGACCACTGTTTGATAACTTTTGAGTTTGTATTGCTGAACTACTCGCCATTGGGCAAAAATTTCTATACAAGATGTCTGTCTGATAGTGCCATAGCTAAATTTAAGGATGCGATTCCATCAGCTCTAAATACATTATCTAGTCACAAAGTAACGGAGGACTCCTATGCTAATTTCAGTCCCTCCCAAATCGATCATCTTGTTGATAGTGCTGCAGGCTCGCTGCGAATGACACTCGACTCTATAGCCCCTCTAAAAAAGAAAATACTAAAACAAAGACGGTTAGCTCCATGGTATAATACTGAAACTCGCAAATTAAAGCAAATATCACGGAAACTTGAGAGGAATTGGCGTTCTACCAAAGTGGAAAATTCTCGTTTAATTTGGCAAGATAGTCTTAAAACTTATAGGAAGGCCCTCCGTAATGCCAGAGCAGCGTACTACTCGTCATTAATAGAGGAAAATAGGAACAACCCCAGGTTTCTTTTCAGCACTGTAGCCAGGCTGACAGAGAGTCACAGCTCTATTGAGCCAAGTATTCCCATAGCTCTCAGTAGTTACGATTTCATGAGCTTCTTTAATGATAAAATTCTAGCTATTAGAGACAAAATTCAAAATTCTTATCTCTTAACTCAGGAACCTTAGAAACAGCTGTAGAACCAGATACATGTTTAGACTGTTTTGCTTCCCTCAATCTTTACCAACTAACTTCAATAATTTCTTCATCTAAACCATCAACCTGCCTCTTAGACCCCATCCCGACTAGGCTGCTTAAAGATGTTTTACCCTTAGTCAGCACCTCTATACTAGATATGATCAATCTATCTTTATCAACAGGCTATGTACCACAGTACTTTAAAGTAGCTGTAATTAAACCTCTTCTGAAAAAGCCCAAACTTGATCCGGGTGTTTTAGCCAACTATAGACCTATATCTAACCTTCCATTTCTCTCTAAGGTTCTGGAGAAAGCAGTTGCTAAACAGCTGTGTGACTTTCTACAGAGCAATAGTTTATTTGAGGATTTTCAGTCAGGATTTAGAGCTCATCATAGCACAGAGACAGCACTGGTGAAAATTACTAATGACCTCCTTATTGCATCAGACAAAGGACTTGTCTCTGTACTGGTTTTATTAGATCTTAGTGCTGCATTTGATACCATTGACCATCAGATCCTATTGCAGAGACTGGAATATTTCATTGGCATTAAAGGAACCGCTCTAAGCTGGTTTAAGTCCTATTTATCAGATCGATTTCAGTTTGTACATGTTAATGATGAGTCCTCCATGCACGCCAAAGTTACTCATGGAGTTCCTCAAGGATCTGTCCTTGGACCAATCCTCTTCACTTTATATATGCTTCCTTTAGGCAATATTATCAGGAAACATTCCATAAGCTTTCATTGTTATGCAGATGATACTCAGTTATATCTATCGATCAAGCCAGATGAAACTCATCAGTTAGCTAAACTTCAAATGTGCCTTCAGGATGTTAAAACCTGGATGACCTGTAATTTTCTCATGTTAAACTCAGATAAAACTGAAGTTATTGCTCTGGGGCCTAAGCACCTCCGTGACGCATTATCTAAAGATATAGTTTCCCTGGATGGCATCGCCTTGGCCTCCAGCACCACTGTGAGGAATCTTGGAGTTATCTTTGATCAGAACATGTCGTTTAAGTCTCACATTAAGCAAATTTCAAGGACCGCCTTTTTTCACCTACGTAATATTGCGAAAATCAGGAACATCCTGTCTAAAAATGATGCAGAAAAACTAGTCCATGCATTTGTTACTTCTAGGCTGGATTACTGCAATTCCTTATTATCAGGCTGCTCGAAAAAGTCCATTAAGACTCTTCAGCTGATCCAGAATGCTGCAGCACGTGTTCTGACAGGAACCAGGAAAAGAGATCACATTTCTCCTGTCTTAGCTTCTTTGCATTGGCTTCCAGTAAAATCCAGAATAGAATTTAAAATCATTCTTCTTACCTACAAATCTCTTAATGGTCAGGCACCATCTTATCTTAAAGAGCTCATAGTACCTTACTACCCCACCAGAGCACTGCGCTCCCAGAATGCAGGGTTACTTGTGGTTCCTAGAGTCTCCAAAAGTAGACTAGGAGCCAGAGCGTTCAGCTATCAAGCTCCTCTCCTGTGGAACCAGGTTCCAGTTTGGGTTCAGGAGGCAGACACCATCTCCACATTTAAGAGTAGGCTTAAGACTTTCCTCTTTGATAAAGCTTATAGTTAGGGCTGGCTAAGGTAGTCCTGAACCATCCCTTAGTTATGCTGCTATAGGCCTAGACTGCCGGGGGATTTCCCATGATGCACTGAGCTCCTCTCTCCTCTACTTTCTCTCCCTCTGTATGCAACCTTATCCCATTATTGCATGTTACTAACACAACTTCTCCCCTTTCTGGTAGTCTTGTGCTTTCTCGTCTCTCTCCTCTCTCCTCCTATCACTTCCTGCAGGTTTTCTGGCTCTGGAGCTGTGGAGTCTGGATCTGTGGCTGCGGGTCACCTGCTGCCCCTGTGTTCCTGCTCGACACCCTCTACTGCAACGACTATTGTTGCTAGTCTTATTGTTATTATTGTTATTATAATCATTAACATTACGATGGTTACCATTAACACTATTATAAATATCTGTACCATTTTTCATTTAGTCTATAGCAACATTACCTTCACTGTCTGTACCTCTGTGTGTATATTGTGTAGGCTGTCTCTCTCTCTCTCTCTCTCTCTCTCTCTCTCTCTTTCTCTCTCTCTCTCTCTCTCTCACCCCCAACCGGTCGAGGCAGATGGCCGCCCACCCTGAGCCATGGTTCTGCTCGAGGTTTCTGCCTCTTAAAAGGAAGTTTTTCCTTGCCTCTGTCGCCTAGTGCTTGCTCTTGGTGGGAACTGTTGGGCTTCTGTAAATATCATCACAGAGTACGGTCTAGACCTGCTCTTTTATTAAAAGCGCTGTGAGATAACTGTTGTTGTGATTTGGCGCTATATAAATAAAATTGAATTGAATTGAATTGAAATTGAATTGATTTTATGTCCAATGTCTACTATTTGTCTATTTATATCAAAGCCAACTGCAAAAAATACCTGACGAATTAAACATAAGAAAATAACAAAATATAAGACAACTGATTTTGTTTTGAAATTATTACTTTATCCTCATTATATTATGACATATATTAACCTTAATCTAAGTTATTGAACCCATTGTCTAGGATTAAAAGTTGTACAGTCATCCGATCTGTTGAGAACAGGCAAGGGCAGACAGTGCCAAAACACATCTGACATACGGTCAAACACCAACACCTCACCACTGAGTCAAAAACATCTGGTGTCTGATTACAGCAGGGCAACCTCAGTAGTACAACTGGTCCATCTACTTGAGACAGTTGGGGTTTTCATACAAGCTCCCTGATGACGACATCTAAAGTAGTGATGTTATGTCTTATAATGGAGCTCTGAGGCTCATTTTAATAGTGGTTTAGCTGCAAAGACGTCTAGCCACTGTCTGAGCTTGCTTTTGATGTGAAATGTGATGTGACTGATGATAACAGAAACAAGTTTATTGTTGAGTAGCCTAGGTTTTCACATACAAGGAATAGCCTTGTTAAGTTGGTGCACTGCAGAATGCAGTTAATACTACTGTATGTACAGTAGGACTGTGCTTGTGCTAGCTTACTGTAGGACTAGGGATATATCAATACATCTTCCAGAATTATTCGAAAATAGCCTTAACCAGCATCTCATGAGTCTATGCTGACTAAAATTGTTTATTGTTTATTCATAGCTGAGAATCTGTTTATTGAATAAGTTTCTTTTTTATTTTATTTTTAAGTGTTGCTAGGTGTACCACTTTTTGTGTTGTTATTTTTAAATTATTGGTATTTATGTCAAAATGTATGTATGTATTTCCCATGCCATTTAGAAGAAATACTTAAAATGTTTCCATGTACAAAGCATTTTCTTAAAAATAATAATGCAAAAAACTAACGAAAAAATTAGATACTCATTAGATAATGAGTGAAAACATAAAATATCAAGAATTTGTCATTCAGTGCTGGTTGATCATTAACATAAGACCATGACAGCAGACATTTCCTCATACCATGTCAGTTCCTGTTTCATTGTCTGACCTTAAAGAAATTCTTCTGTGTGGGAGTCAGACAGACATAATAAAAGACACAAAGAGTCTGCATATTACTGTTCGTATTCATTTACTGCCTGCGTGAAGAGAGACTCTTACCTTCACTATGTCCATCTCTCTGCTGCTGTTGATGCTGCTTGCATGCAGCTGCCAAGCAACTCATTTCTTTGGGACAGTGATGACTTATTACCCAAAGAAGACGAGCACCAATGGATCTGTCACGGTACGTACATCTAAAAGTGCTGTCACTTTCCATACAAACAAACTTAGCTTTTAGAACTTAAAGAATAAAAATGGAACTTTGAGAGGACACAAAGTCTGTGAAGGTTCTCAGCCATCCAGGTTGTAGTTACATTTTGTCCCTCATCCAAGAGACTTCTTCAGGGGGATGAGGGACAAAACGTGACTTCTAGTCAACCAAGTCCAGTTGCCCTTCACTTTAAACTTCTTTAGAGGACACAAGAAATTACAGTTCTGAACTCTGAATGTTTTCGGCATGAAAGTTAAGTTCAGTAGTCAATAGTGTTTGCCTACAAAATGAAGTAAACGTCTGTACTAAGAACTACCTTCTTCTGTGTTGTGGATGGTTTTGTTTATCACTGCAGGTGGTAATTCGCTATAAGCTGAACTTCCACTTATGCACTGATTCTGACACGTGGCAATGCTACATTGGGAATTGTGGTACTGAGAGTGCTTTAGTGCTGAACAAGGTCTACAGCGAGAGCAGTGGAGAGTGGTGTCAGAGAGAGGGAATCATGACTCGGCAGGTTACCAGCAATGCTCCGTTTCAGCTTAGGTAAGTGATCCATGCCTTTTGCAAAAATTTAATAGGCAGATTTTTATCTGTTCAAATACCTTCTGTCAGTCTCCCAAATATTTATATATGTATTTTTTATATGTATTTTACAGAGAGTACGATGAAAGAGATCACTTGCAGAATCAAATCTGATATCAAAGGAAGCGCTGTGGTTTTTTAGCTTCTTTTACCCTGTTGTTTTGGTTTTATGTTGTGCCGTGTCTGCTGCACTTTTATCCTTAGACAGGAAACGCCGGTGGAAATGAAGGAGAGGAGTTTGTTGTGTACATAGAGGAACTGCTAGCAACACTCACTTGTAGGGATCCTTTCCATAATGTTGTTAGAGGGGCGGCTGTGGGGTTGATTGACGGCTCCCCCAGTCTGTATGTTGAAGTATCCTTGGGCAAAATACTGAACCCCAAATTGCTTGACTGGTGGCTGTGCCATTGGTGTGTGAATGTGTATTTCCATTTCTAATGGCAGAGGCACCTTCGGCATCAGTGTGTGAATGGGGCCGATGTGATGTAATGTAAAAGTGCTTTGAGAAAGGCATTATACAAGTACGGACCATTTATCTTGTATCATAGTCTGAGCCTGTTGGTTGCAAAAACAGCAATTATACCGATACATGGCAGCCACTGCATCCATTTCGGGGCTGCCAGGTGAAGCCATTTACCGCACAAATTCCATTTTGACATCACAATATGTGAAAATAGGGTCCAGGTTTAAAAATACTAAAATTATCCTTTAATGCCATTTTCTCAAAGTGCAGACTTCTGTTCACAAAACACAATACACACTATGCAGTCAAAACAGACTGAGTCAATTTAAATCTCCACATAAATAAGAAGTGATGTCACCCACAATGCAGTTCAGAGACTTTTGAAAACTGACATCAAAAATCACATTGCTTGTGGTGGCTCCTGGTAATCCAATGATTTATGTAATATATTGGAAATGCCACAGTAACATCTATAGTACATGAGAACACTCAGGTTCTATGTAGCACAGTAAAATTGACTTTCCCATGAACTTCCTCCACAGGTTAGATAATGGTAATTGGATAAATAATATCGTAAATGGTATTGTTGCATGGAGAGCTCTGACTCTGGTGGAGCTGAGGAACCGGTCGGACACCGGCCATGCCAACAGATCACCCCAGACCACCATACTGCCGGTTGTGAGGTAAGCCTCCTCACTCATTCCCCTTCAGATCTCAAAACCCTCCATGCCACCAAATAGTGACACTGAACTCCAGTGCACAGCTCATTTGCCACGTGTGAATTTGACATTCCTTATAAACAAACTACTTTCTCATAATCTTCCACCCCAAAATCCCCCCTTTTTTCCTTTCAGTGTTTGATTTTTCTAAACTGAATCAAGGATTTCAGTAAAAAAGGGTGATATACTTCTGCTCACTTATTGACACTAACACGGATTAAATGGATTTTTTAAATTCATACAAATAAAACATTTTAATAAGTGAGCTTGGTGCTGGTAGCTTATGCTAAACTGAGCTAACCAGCTGCTTGCAGTAGCATTGTACTTGACAGACACATATGAGGGTGGTTTTGATTTACTAATCTAACTGATAATGTTTTTGCATTTACTGATGGAATTGCTGGCTCAGGCATCAGGGGAAACAAATACATGGAGATGCACAGGGCCAGATAAGTTTACACGAGTAGCTGATTCTTATTCAGTGTAAATGGCATAAACATGTTGTTCCTCCACACAACAGGACAGGAAGTAACAACTGCTAAAACTCTCTCTCTCTCTCTCTCTCTCACTCTCTCTCTCACTCTCTCTCAGAGTTCCTTCAAACTGTCAGAGAGATTTTAACCTGTTGGCGTTTGACCCTGATGGAGACAAAGTTATATGCAGATACGGAAACGCAGCACTGTCAGAGTGTAACCCCTGTACACCAGCGTCTGTTCTCAGCCTCTCACCAGTGAGTTGCCACCATTCTCACAACAGCACAATTTTTGGTGCTAGTGAGAAAAGTGGGCCCAAAAACACTAGCATAGTTTTGCAAAAATGCACAGGAGTATAGTGCTCTAACTTCAGGAAGCCGAGAGCAGCTATGGTTGCAATAAATTTTTGCCATTCTATGGCGTGGCTACACAAATTGTTTGCAGACTTTCATGCTTTCCAGACAAATCAGATAGCCTTGTTTCTTTTCTAGAGACAGGACATTGATGTGACTGATCATGGTTGCTACTCAATCCTAATAACTCCTACTTTCAACATATGCATTGCATAACGTACACTGGAAGCACTGTGTAGTTAGAAGAAGTAGTCAAGATGTTACGTGTATTTGGTGTGTGTTACCCTTCACACACTGAATGATTATGTACAATATGATAAGCAAGTCTGTACATAATGTAATGTACACACTACATTCTTCATGAAAATGAAGATCCACTTCCGTGTTAAGTGCACACTGTTATCACAAAATCTGAGCCCATGTCTTGAGTAACATGCAATGCAGCATACTGTATAAGCTACATTAGTCATTAGCAATTGTGTTAATGGTATCACCTGGATTACCCAAAATGCATGACTAATGTGACATTTTTCTGTTTGGCAATGTTTTTTGTAATGTATAAACTGACTTGCATTTTTATAACAATTTTTTTTTTTGACATGTTTTGCTTTTTTTTAAATCCTTTTGCAGTCTTGTACTTTGTCGTTCAGCCCCACCAATGGCAGTAATCAAGGTCCATATGCCGTACAGCTGGTGATGGAGGACTTTCCCAGGCAGAATATCACCCTGACTCAAACAAACGGGATGCAGACAACCATAACTACCAACAACACTCTCAGCAAACTACCTGTCCAGTTTGTTTTAAATGGTCAGATTTCACATTTTGACAGGCAGGGCTTTAGCTACACTTCAGTTAGCTGCTAACCATGAAAAGCACAAAATGTCTGTTTTTCTTTATTGTTCCAGTGGATCCTGTGGTGCCATCCTGCACAGAGGGACTCTACCTGCCTACATTCCTGCCTCCAACCCCAGCCAACAGGGCACAGCTGTACACGCCTGTCAATCACACCCTGGAAATCAGCATCAATGCGGAGGCAAATATCTCCACGTAAGTCAAAAGAAAACAAACAAACATGATTGGGATATTAAAGATGTGTTGTTGAACCGTCTCTTGTGGAACCTTTTCTATAGAAACTGTAAAATGAGGTAGTTAGCCAATGTTATGCTACACCTAGGCCTTGGATGTAGGTTACTAGTTACCCAGACAAAATAACATTAACAACTGAAACCTGTTATCCCCTTTTAAGTTTGTATGGCAAGCTTATCAGCAGTTGCCTATTTACACATTCCAGAGTAAACCCAGAATCTATGTTTACTATGTTTGGAGGCAATGACTGGTCTTTAAAAAGGTTATTTAACTTGCCAAGATTCTGTTCATCTGTTTGTTAAAGGATCTCTGAGCTTCTGTTCAGTGGGCCGTACAACATAAACCTGACTAAATCAGGAACAGGACAGTTCATTCTGAGATGGACACCATCTGAGGACGAAGATGGAGAAAGTCAACCCATCTGCTTTGTTGTCCAAGCAGTTTACAAGTCAGTGTTTTTTTGTCAACCCATTAACCTGTGAAAAAGTATATGGAAGTAGTGTAAAGTATATTGAACATATGTTGAACAAACACAAAACCGTGTGAGGTTGAAATCAAAAGTTCTTTTGCAGTTGTGTCAGTTAAAATCAATTTTAATAATGAAAGAAAGCTGTTTTGGCAAATATTTGCCAAAACTGAACGGGTAAATGTTGTTGTACTTTTAACAAAAAAATGGATGTCCCATTGTGTAACTAAGCTCTTCGTTTATTCTCTCAGTTCAACAACGTATCACTCCGAGCTACGATGTGTCGCTGTAAGTGTTAGAAACGGTGAGCAGAAATCTTTTCTGTCTAATGTTTTGAATTCCATTGCTTCTTGTATAAGTCACTTCTAACCTGTCATTAATTATGAATTCTGTCAGCAGAACCATCATCAAATGCAACTGTAACCACAGAAACTTGTCCAGCACTTACACCAGAAACTACAGCAGCATTCAATCAAAGTACGACCACCATCCCCTCTACAACTACATCACTAATAAGCAGCACTCTGTCTACAACTTACACATGCACACTCTCTTCTAACAAAAGAAAGCAATCTGTAGGTGGACTGCACCTTGACTTTCCTGCTGCAAACAAAACCCCTTTTGTTAGTTTCATGCTTTTTTGCCTGCAAAGTATTACTCAGTGTCAGCACCTTACGTCTTATGTAGCAGCACAACACGTACTATTGTGGTTTTCTTCCAGCCTGCGTTGTAAAGTTCAGTCACTGTGTTTCTAGTTGTCATAGGTCTGAGAATGAGGATTTCCTCTTTGTCTCCACTGTCTGACAACTACATCAGGAATACCGTCATGCAACAGGTCAGTCCGCTTCTTATTTGATCACATATCTTGTCAAAGCACCAGATAACCACGAAGATATACTTTGAATAAGTAAGTCAATGTCTGATGAAATTCAGCTGTGCTGAAATTTGACACACAAATTTGCACCATTGACGAAAAACAGCTGTATGGAGAGTCCAAACTGGAGGAAGCTATCGTAGCTTAGTAGCTCTGTTTAACTTTTATATAAAACCTCTTGAAGCCCACTGGGTCACCTGCTTGAGCTAGTTCCAAGCTTCCTAGAACAAAAAGTATTAATGTTTAAACTTGTCAGTGTGGACTAGACATTGTAAGATCGGTTACATTCTCCACAATTCAATCGTTTAGTTCATTTTATGGAAACAATGAGCACCAAAGTATAATTCATTCAGATTTACCTGCATCGTTAAGGAATAAAAGGCCTGTCCCATATAAGTTATTAAAATAAAATCTGTTTTCAAAAATCTACATACACTTAAAGCAACAGAACAGACTGTTTTTTGTGAGTGTAGCATAATTTATTCAAAACTGGTTAATTTGAGCAAACAAACCACCATTTTAAAACTGAACACAAAATAATAGTAGAAAACTGTGGAATATGAAGAAATAATTACCATATGTAGGCTACACAACATATTTATGTCCACATACATGTATTTTCAACAGGTATAGTTTGGTTGTCCATGAGTGCAAAATGTGAATAATCTGTTTGTTTCCTTTCAGTTTTTGCACATTTTTATCATTTTCTCAGATAACAGTGATTGTATCTCAGCACCACTTTGTTGTTTCTCTTCCAGCTGTATGATGAACTGGTGAGACAAGGGATGCCATCAAACTTCATTCTGAGCTTTGTGAGGAGAGTGTAGTGTCAAGGAATATAACATCAGTAGGATATAAGCAGTCGGTGGGTGATTTAAACATATGTACCCAGGGAAAATGCATTGAACATTTGACCTAGAGAGAAACATTGCTGAGAATATAAAACCCTGGAAAGGTACTGTGTCATGTAAATAGGATCTTGAGCTGGGGAACATGGTTGAATTCAGTCAAACTCCTTAATTATGTTCCTGATACACCAACCCTCAAAGACCAGAACTGTAAAGTCCTGAGGTTATAACAGACATTTTCTCTGTGGAAAGAATTGAGACTGTAAATCTAAACACAGGTTCCTGCTAAAGAATGAAAAATAAAAATGTTTTTATTGGACGAAAAAACATCTGTCTTTACCGTTATGTATGCTGTGGATGTGTTTGTATTGTAGTTTGTCTGTTTATTAAGCCCCAAACATAGTTAAGAATAAATATGAACTCGGCAGCCATGTTCATAAAACAAACCCTTGACAAAAAAAGACAAAAGGAGCCAGTGAAGTTTAAAAGACATCGGTTTTACTTCCAGTTGGACAAGCTCGAGCAGCATGTCATTAGAAATACACAGGTCACGGTGTCAAGACAGTAACAATAAATTAAACATCAGTTGGTTGTAAACTTGTTCATCATGAAGCCACATGATATTAAACTCTTTGCAGGACGTGAAACTAACTTATTTATGCCAACCAGCCAACAAACACAGAGTTTTAGCAGCTGAAGATATTCCTCAGGGGTAATATAATATATTATAATATTAAGACTAGCTCGTGTCTAAATGAACTTTTATTGACTACATACACTGGTAAAAGTGACGAGCCTCTTGATAAACTTGAGCTATGAGGCTTTCTATTGGTTTAATATTTAAAACAGCAGTATATTAATTCTTTGGTTGATGTTTTTGTTGGATAATTACTTTTCAAAATGATGATAAAATGATTACTTCCAGCTGTAGCTCAAGGACAGTGATGCACTTTCTTTTGTTTGCAAGTTAATAAAGTTTTCGTATTGCAAAAAGTGTTAGGCTGGTGGCTAAGTGTTAATTTCAGGCCCTCTTTGTTTGTACACACATTCCTTCCCGCTGTCAAGTAAAACCGCAAAAGGGGTGCGCTTGTTTTGTTTCAGATAACAGTGGACAAGAGTCATTTTGTTGAATTGTAACTGATGGAAACAATGGTTAAGACGCAACCGCACCGATCTGGATAAACCAAAACAAGCGCACCCTGTTGATCAACACCGATACAAAAAACGAACGAAAAAAACAGATCAACTGCATTTTTCAACAGAGTCAAAGAAGCAAGCCAATACCCTGATAGTTAACACACACCTGGACTAAAAACATTCACAGTCTGAAATGCTTCAGGTGTTTCACAAAGGTGAGGGTGATGACATTTCATTTGTAAGAGAAAATGTTACATTCAAGGTGAGACAAATAAAAGACTATAGCTCGTGCACCTTGTGGTCTTTGCAAATAATCACAAAAACATTTTAAACCTTGTTTTATTTGAGTTTTTGTAACCTTCCCTTCATGAGAATTGTACATTATTCATATAAAATATGAAGCTTCCTATGTACAGCTAACAAAAACCAAACCTGGGCTAGGATGACTTGTAAGTGTTCCTGCCTGTCAAGAAGTGTTTTGGAGAGTGGTTACCAGTGGTTATGAGAGAAACGTTCTCACCACTTCTTCCCTTGAGCTTCCGCCTTGTTTTGCAGTCAAATTCAAACACTATTAAAACCAACAGAAATAAGGCGTCTTTCAGCGTGGAGGACGGCTGCTTCATTGCCATCATGGGGTTTGATGATACATCCTATCAAGGAAAACATGCATTCACACCATGAGGTAAATTATTAACAAAATCACCAGAACTGGTCCATAAATAGACAATAAACTAAGTAAAATAAGGTATCTGTACATCCTGGTGTGCCTAGAATCTGAATATTGTAAGTTATTTCCGCCCGGTCTCATGTCAGGGTGTCAGAAACCGAAGCTCTGAGAAAGCCTGACAAAGCGTTGCATTCTGACGCACAAGGTACCCTTCAGCATCCACATGACACGCCCTGGGCTTTCAAGTAACTCTAGTGTAACCCATCCTCCGTCACCTCATATGCTTATTTCAACCCCAAACCTTGATCTTCTCCTAAATCTATCAAAAAACATGATGTTTTCCTAAACCTTAAGGCGTTTCATACTGATGGCAAAGGGTACCTTGTGCTTCAAATACGGAACCTCTGTCAGGTTTTCTTAAAGTGTGTTTGACGCCCTGAGATGAGAATGTGTTGGTTTCTTTTGGTAATTTTTTCAACTTGCTATCGCCAAGAGTGCTTTGGTAAGAACTATTTGATTTGACAACTGTTTTGGTAAGAACTTTTTATAGGTTACATGTTGTCTTTCCCTGGTAGTAAGGCCAAAATTAGAGTTGAGTAACGCAATATTCTGACTTTCTCTGAATATGTGAGTGAAATGAAGAGAGTGGAGACCAAGGATGTCACTTCTGATTCGAAATTCATCCTGTCTTTTCAGCTTGGAAAAATATGTAAGCACTGTGCCTTGGACTCTGCCCCTGGGGACATTTGTAAAATGTACTGTCTGCAGTTGTTGTTCTCTTTAATTAAGGATTATTCATCATTTTGAGAAACAAACTTCTTCACATCTGAGAGCTGGATGAGAAGATGGTTACTCATACCTGTACAATACATACAAAGCTGGAACAATCTGACAGTTAGCTTAGCTTTGCATTAGCACTAGAAACGCAGAAACAGCTAGCCTGGCTCTGTCCACAAGCCGTCTGCAGTACTTCCTTAGTTCAGTAATAACATATTATATCTTGTTTGTTTATTCCATACAAAAACGGAAAATAACTTCATGGAGTCTCTACTGGTTGTCTGGCAACTGGTCCTCCAATTTCCAATCTCAATGCTAAGCTAAGCTAACTGGCAGATGGTTGTAGCTTCATATTTATTGTACAGACATGAGAGTAATGTTTATCTTATCAGCAAGAAAGCAAATTTCCCAAAATATCAAGCTATTGCTTGAAAGCTAAATGGAGGAAACAAGTGAGTAGCGTCAAACTGATTTTTATGACACCAAACCACCTGAGAATAAAAACACTGACATGCACCACAGGTGGAAAAATTGTTGACGAAAGTGAGGCTGTTAGCTGCCTTTTAAAAGTGCAATTGCCTTCCTGTAAATAGCAGTGGAAGCACGAATCAATGTCAATTTTGCGATGTAGTTTAGGGAAGGATGAGCGGGTTGCGTTCAAATTGACAAATTATGCATAATAAAAGCACCAATGGTCATCTCCAAAATATAACCAAGTCATAAATATCTTGACTTTTGTTGATACTGGTCAGCTTTATATTTAGTTAACCCATCAAAGCAAATAAGTAATATCACAAAAGTCAAAAACAAAGCAATAGCAATACATGTTTTTGACTAAATACTGAACAAAAGACCCTGTAATACAGCACCAACAGAGCCTGATGTACTAAACACAGTTGTTGTTGCTCACAGTGCAAATGCAGCATTACAAACCCTGTGTCAAATGCAGAACACCTCTCACAACCGCTGCTAACATCTCTCCAAGGTTTCACTTAAATTGTTTAGAGACTTGCAGATCAACATGATTTTAATGTCTGCTATTAAACATGTTTTAAAATAGAATATCAGTAACTTGATTTTCTTGAAACGTTTATATTAAAAAAAAGGCAGATCACTCCATGTGATTTAAGTCACATAATTCAAGAAAAAGGGCTTTTTAGAACTGACATCATCTAACCACTGGCAGTTGTTCTCATTTTGTAACATCTGAGGACTATTGTGAATACTTTGTTAAACTTCATTTAACACACCGAAGCACTTGTAATAATGTTGTTAATATTGTGTATCTGAAACTCATGTTCAGCCCAGGTCCAACACAGAATTAGAAGAATTACTATATACACAAACATAAAATCAGGGTGAAGTTGCCTTTTTTTTGCCTTCTCCGCCATTCGACGTCCTTTTCAATTTATAGTGATGTCAACCATGAAAAACCACCTCAAAGTGAGTCTTGCATTATTACACGTGACAAACTACACACCCCACTGTCAGGAGCAGAGTGGTTTGCCACATGAAGGCATAATAACAACAATACTGGCCAACTAAAAACTAGCTGCTGTCTATGTTACCATTCCAAAATCAGCAGTAGCGAACAGATTAATACTCTCATGTTGTATCCACACTTTTTTTAAAAGATCCTTGTGCCATCTTTGCAAAACATTTTTGGTTGGTCCACCCCTCAAGGTCTGCTCTAAGGGCCCAAGGATACTTGAAACAAGGCTGCGGCTAACAAATATTTTCTTGATTAATTCATTTTATCTATAAAATGGCATAAAAGAGTGAAAAATGCTTGTTTTATTCAACCAACAGTCCAAAATCCGAAAGATATTCAGTTTAATATTTTACATGACAAAGGAAAACATAAAACCTGAATTTCTGATGTTTTGCCTGACAAGTAACTAAAATAATTTAATTGTCTGTCAATGGACTAATTTATTAATAGACTTATCGTTGGAGCTCAACTACAAATTGTTCAACCACCTCTGAAAGCAAAAGGGTTTTTGGCTGTTTTGAATTCCTTTGCTTTTGATCTAAATATTTTTCCCCAAAATACACACAGTTTAGAAGAGTTTATTCTTGTGTGTGGATCCTTTCTATTCAATACACTTCTGTTACGCAGCGTTCATAAAATGTTTGGAAAATGGAGGCAGATTTAGATGCATATTAATGACATGAATGCATCTTGAAAGTAAATAATAGCTAATGATAAAGGTAGTTAGAGTAGCTTCAAGTTTAATTTGACTTTTCTCTTTTGAACTTTGACTGTATATACTGTATGTAGCCATGCGTCCAGCTTTCAAAATGCAGATCTGGAGGTATTCTTGTGAGGAAACATGAGAGTTTGAAAGACGCGTCCTTGAAAACTTCAATTTGGAACTATCTTCTTGTGTCAGCCACAACCACGTCATACAAGGTCATTTACAGTTTTCTAACTTTGGGTGATTTAAACAAGCGATAAGAAGTGTTGGTAAGTAGCTGCAGCCTCACCTTTATACGTTTTTCTTCACTGCTAAACACTTCATTAATGTTCCTATGACAGCAGCACATCCAAACCCAGACCAGTGAGGAAAGGCAACTTCACCCCTCACATACAACAATACACTGTTATTGGCAGAGTCAACTCCACAGAATAATTATAAACAATGAATTGGTTAAGAACCGTCCCTTCACTGAGATTTAGCAGAATACAAGTAAATGTACTCTGCGTGTGTGTGCGTATGTGTGTGTGCATGTGTTGGGGTGATTTGATGGGGAACGAATGACACAAATATTACTTTCATCTCCAAGGTTAAAAATAGAATTTAAGGGTACTATGACAGTAAACAAAATGTGTCGTTTTTATCCAGCGTCCCCCTTTTTACATCTTAAATCACACCCTGTGTGCGTGTGTGTGTGCGTTAGTAGTGTATATCTGTAAGTGTAACACAGTTTAGTTAGTTAGCGCGTCAAACTTCTTTGTACTTAAACATGAACACAGGAATGAGGAAAATAAAACAACAAAACACACAAAAAATGCATCTCTTTGTGGAAATTCACCAATTCTTGTTTGCTTATGAATCCCAAAGCATCATACCAGCATCCAGCAACACATCTTATTTGTTCCTATTATTATAACAGTTTGGAGTAACAGGATGTGATAGAGGACAAGTAGGTAGTTTGTTTTTTGCTCATAAAAATAAAATGTTATTGGATAATTTAAACATAAAAATGTCACTTCATCAGATAGTTTAAAAATGTGAGCTGTTGACGTGGTATAATTGATATCTTGAGCTCTAGTGGTTGATTTTAAGAATAAAAGTAAATAAATAATAGACACCTACAGGGTCTTTTGGTGCTGGACCTCGATCTAACTCGGTAACAAAAAAGAACCCTTTAGAGATGTATGAATGCACTATGTGGCCAAAAGTATACGGACATTTGGACTGGGGCTGGTCAAGATTTGGGCCCCTTAGTTCCAACGCAGGCAAGTGTTAATGCCGCAGGATTTAAGGATAATATAGACAACAATGTGCTTCCAGCTGTGTGTCTACAGTTTGGGGAAGGCCATTTTCTGTTTAAACACAGTCAGGCCCACAAGGGGATAGTTTTCCCAATTTGATGTGGAAGGACTTGACTTGTAATCCATCCAACACCTTTGGGATGGACTGGAGCACAGACTGTGAGCCAGATCTTATCACCAAACATCAGCGTGGAACCTCACTGATGCTCAGGTGTGTGAATGGGGAGCAAAGCTCAAACAACAGGTGGAAGGTATTCACAGGGAAGTGCTGGTTGTTATTAAAACTTTGAATTAAAACACTTGGCCACATAGTGTATATCAGCATACCATCAAAGTATTTCACTAAACTCCATCACAATGTATTCAACTAATATGGATGGGAAATTTCAGATAGTGGTAGCAGCTTTAGAAATCTGTATCAGTGCACCCCGGTACCTATTTAAAGCTTTGACATTACCATAAAAAGGACAAAAAACCCCCGAATAATCTAACCTTTCAAAACCTAATTAAGAAACAAACTAGTTTTAGGGCAAAGTTAGCGTTCACAGTTCAACAACCAAAAAGACAGTTTTGGTCGGGTTTCATTCAGGAGTTCAACATGTAAAAACACTTGAAACAGGAAGCTTAAACCATGCCACTCTTAGTAGCTTTCAGAAAAGGAAAGTTTGTGTGTCAGCACAAACACTGTCCAGAAGTCGACTCCCTCAAACACACCATTGTAAAAGACCTACACTGGGGTTAGACTGATGTGTGGGTCAAAGTCAGAAATCAGCTGCTCAGCGTCACCTAGCTCAAACATAACATAACATCTTCATTACAGATTTACTGTCAACGGAATCCCCTTTTGATCTGATTCTCAAACGTGTGCAAAGATATTTTTATCTCATGCATTTCAGACCCCATTATTAACATCTTGGAGTTTCAGTTGGACAGTTGTGGTGTCTCACGGTGGCTTAAATGTTATTTCAGATGCTTTTGTCTTAGACAAGAAAACACAGAAGGCCAGATTTAGTGAGGCTTCTGCACCTGTTTTTGGGGGCACAGGCGTGACGCATTCTGCTGCAGTTTGTGAGTCATTATTATTGTTATGCATTTAGGCGAGGGCTGCTCAAATGACAGTAGGATATATATTCCACTGGACTGAGGCTGCAAATTGTGTGACCGGGATTTAAACAAGGTTGTGCTGGGAAAATAAATGCGAGTAATGTGTAAATGCACACCCGAATCTCTGACTGAACTGCTGGCAGTTGAGTTGCATTGTGGGTAATGTAGGTAGCAGGTTTAAACAAGGATAATGAATGCATTATCTTTGGTTCTGCTGCATCTAACTGTCCTTAAGCGGGCGATGCTAAATCTGGGGACTGCTCTTTTAGCATTAGGTTTCTTTGGACTTGAACTGCAGCGGACATTAACGTTCTGGAGTAGGGATGAAACTATTACCGGTTTAATGGTAAACCCTGGTAAATTTCCCGAGGGTTATTATTACTGTACACATTTTAAGTACCATGATAACCAGGTACGGTTAACCGCGCTATTATAATCTCACGGTAAACACTGTCCAGCGTCTCCCAGAAGCAGGCGTGCATGCGCAGAATGCAACGTGGGTTTGTTAGGGTCAATAATGTCACTCTGAAGTCTGGTCGTATTTTAGTTTTTATGAGAGCGCTGAGGGAAACTTGATTTAAGAACCTTATAGTTAACGCAGGGTGAGTTAACTTTTAGCTTTGGTTTGTCTGTCTGACTTGCTAACAGCGTGTAAACTGAAGCTCTCAGTGTTGCTGCTCTTGTAAAAACGCTACACGTTGTTCTGCTGCTGTGAGCGTCGTGTGTCAGCAGAGTCTATATGTCATGATAACACGTTACGCAGTTTAGTCAACCAACCAGCATATCTAGAAACGCTACAGACTGCTCTGTATTTATGTCAGTTGTTGGGCTCATTACAGTTACTATCACTGTCTTCTAAAGACTTATTTGTTTTCATGTAATTGCCCACGGGGTCATGGTATTACCTATATAATATAAAATATAAACTCTTGAAAATGCACACTGATGATTTTCATTTGTTTACAAAAAGGTATCTGCTGTTATTTAATTTTTTATGCAAACAAAATGGCAACTGTATTTGTAGTTTTCAATATAAAACTTGTTGAAATTTGTTTCAGTGTGTTTATCAGTACATTTTAATATTTTTTGGCACATTTTTACAATACAGTGATGATACTGATAACCGTGATAATTTTGGTCACTATAATTGTGAAATTTTCATACTGTTTCATCCCTATTCTGGAGGATTACTAAGTTAGCATTTATTTTGTTATAGGAGACCTATTATGCTTTTCCATATTTTATGACTTATCTACACTGTTACAATTTTGGATGGTCATGTTAAACATGGCCGAAGCTTAAAATAATGAGGTAAAGTATTTAAAAGAAATCCCTGTGAGTCAAAACAGATCAGGCCAATCAGAAGACAGTGGGCTTTGAGAGGCGGGGGCCTTAAAGACACAGGAGCATCTACAGCTTGTTTCAGATAGAGGCTGAAATTAAGGCCTACATAAAGACCCAGTATAAAATTTATCTTTGAATAATGCAAAGCTGCCATACAGAAGTCACAGAACTAAAATATAGGACTGGGAAAAGCAGCACCATAGGTCTCCTTTAACTTGGTGACCTCCAGACAAATCCCACCACAGAATTGCACCTATGAGCTTTCCTTTAATCGCAAAATGCATTAGTCCAGGAGCTTACTGTAATGAGCTGCTGCCTCAGTCCGTCAGGAGCTAACTACATGCAGATTGGACCTGTAAATTCAACAAACCCGCAGTGCACATTTGTGCTGGCCCATTTTCTTATTAAATCTGGCCCTGAATGTTTGTTTCTGGGCATAAAAACTCAAATATCATGCAGCTAAATACATCCGATTGTAGGCAGCTGTAGTGAATAAATCTGCATATCACTCTTGTTAAACCCATGTCAGTCAAACCTCAGTGTCCACAGGGGGCCAACCTATCCACACAAGTAAAATGATCAAAACACTGGTGGTTAAACTACAGATCGGGACAAAACAGGGACCATCGGAGCTCTTCCTTCATGACAAGAAAGGAACAGATTTTCATGAGTCTAAGGCTGAATTTTTTTAGGCCCTGGGGGATAAAGTCATACACACTCATTCATCTAACACACTCTCTTCATTTGTCCCAGTCTCGGCCTTCATCCTCCTTCCTCTTCACCTCTCAGGTCCAAAGATAAGACATAATAGTTAGGCATAAAGTTCACTCTCTCACACAGTCACACAAATAAAACCTTTCTCGCCATCCTTTCCTCGCCCTCTTAGCACTCTCACGGGCCAAACGGTCAGACGTCATAGTCCGGCAGGGCGGAGTAGATGATGCCGCCAACTGATGGAGGGCTGGAGTGGAGAGGAAGAAGCCAGCAAAAAACCGAGCCTGGGGAGAAAATAAGAGATTAAATCATAAAACGTCTTTTTCTTGAAATGAGAGTCAGTTCTTTAAAGACGTAATAAATAGCTCGATGACAATAGTTGTTAGTGGTACATTTCAAATTCTTGGTGATAAGCGCAAACCCACCTCTTCCGAAAACCTCCCGCAGCAGAGCGAGCTTTGGCTTGCGGGTGTGAGGGGGGTGGTGAGGCAGCTGAGAGGAGGAGGAGGTGGAAGCAGATGAAGATGAAGAGCCCCTGTCCTTGAGCATCAGCCTGTTCTTCATCTGCTCTATGGGGGTCTCGTCTGTGATTATAGAGACCAACTGGAGAAGGAAGACAGAAAACGTATGGTATTACATTTCAGAAAACTTTATTTACAAATTATTTAATCCAAATTTAGCCCTCACATTCTTAAAGACTGTTGTAAATAAGACAATGGCTTTTGATAAAGTATTCATTTTTCTTGGCTCAACAAGCCTCGTCTACTTTTACCTCGGTTTGAGTTCCAACCATAGACCGTGTAAAACAACTGGACGTCGCCAAAGTGACGTCACCCGCTGTTTTGTGGACTACTACCTTAGTTTCATTTTGGACATCACCATCTTGTTTTTTTTGGAACCAGACGTGACCATATTTGAACGAGAGGATAGCGCTAGCCAGCTTGGTTAGTAAGGTGCATCTTTTATTCATGTTAACTGTTATATATATTAATTAGGATGCTAATTTTGGCTAGCAAAAAACATAAAGACTTAAAACTAAATGTACTTAGCAGAAGAAAATGAATTGCCAACAACTCCTTAAAGTGTCTGAAAAAGACATTTTTAGGCGTCCACAATGTAATAATTAACTTTCATAAACTATTTTGCACTGGACTGTAACTAATGATTATTTTCATTATGGATTACAGTGTTTCCAACACATTGACTTTACTTGGGCGGGCCACCCAAGTATATAAGCAAATATTTGGCGACCCATTTTAGTATTTTGCTGAGAATCACAGAGAGTTGTTACCTATTATGTAACACGATGCAGACACATTGGATATTTTACAAGCACGGACCAGGTAAAGCAACAGTGAACACACCAGTGTAGATGTTATGAGAGCAGAGAGTATAACCAAGCAGGAAGCTTCTGGTCTGAGAGGCGAGGCCAATGTGGAAGTCCCTTAAACCTGCATTGTGGCCAGCAGGGGGCGACTCCTCTGGTTTCTAAAAGAAGTCCGGCTCCATTAGAAATAATGGTAAAATGACCCTACTTCTCAGCTGATTTATTAACTCAGTAAACACTTTCCTGATGAGTTTATGGTCTCAGTCGCTAGTTTCATGTCTTCTTTAATACAACATTAAGTATTTTATGGTCCCATTTAGAGGAAAATAGACCATAAAGCAGAGTATGCTTCAGGGCGGGATTATCTATGATTGACAAGTCCTTACCATGGTGACCTGTCAACAAAGCTAGAGTGACTTGTACCAACAGCACTGTGTAAATTTAACCAGCTCCGTTAAAAAAGCTTAGTAGGAGTCGGCTGTTCACTTTCTCTGGTGAGTACATTTAGTTTTAAGACTGATGCACCTATCTAAGCAAGCTAGCTAGCTTCACACACGGCCATTAGCTCCACCGTCTCTTCCAAATATCACGTCTGGTGCCGCTGGTTGCAAAGAATGAACATGGCGAGGCCCTATCGGCCAAACTCGAGGCAATAAAACGGCAGTCCACAAACCAACGGGTGACTTCACGATGGTTACGTCCTCTTCTTATATACAGTCTATGAGTATAACACACTATGTTCCTGTAGATGTGACGAGGGCTCAAGTTCATTGAGGGTTAAGATTTGGTTTAAGGTAAAGAACAGGGTTCGGGAAAGTCTCCCTCTAATGAATGTAAGTAAATGCAATGTCGCCTTTGAGTGATGGAAGCAGATTTGTGTGTGCGTACCTGATCGTAGAAGATGACCATGACAAACACGCCAAACAAGACCGACTCCACCAGGAGGATGATGTAGTGAGCGCTAAGAGAGACAACATAACCATGAGCTGACTAACCGAGTAACTGAATCAATGGCAAACCTAAGCTAGGTTAATTCTTACAGACACTATTCACTTTGCAGAGGACTCACACTATCAGGTGCTTGCTGGGTGTCTCTGCTTCTTTCTCTGCGTCGCCATCTCGCTCGTTCCTTATCCGCCACACCCAGGCCGACACCACCAGCACCATGGAGTACAGACTGGCCATGCCTGCACACACAGATAGCATCGCGGTATCAACAGCATTACCCTTCAATCGCAGTAGTGGCGAAGGTTAAGAAACATTAGAATATAAAAGAGGAAGTATTCAGTGACAGGATTAGGATTTATAAAAAGGATACTGGGGAATAAAATATTAAATTTAAATGAACAAATGTTTCTTGTGGGGTTAATACCAACTGTAAAAATTTAATTTGAAAGCAGGGAGTGGTGCTTTAGTACAGATAAAGGTGCTGGTACCACTTGCAGGTGTCTTTAAGGAGGAGTGCAGATGTGTGTCTTGGAAGATGTTTTAATGTATTGTCGTGTGTGCGTCAATGTAACTTTTAAATGCTGTTTTGCTGCCTTTCTTGGCCAGGTCTCCCTTAAAAAAGAGGGATTATATCTCAGTGAGCTTCTTGCAGCTTAAATAAAGGTTAAAGAAATAAAGATTAAAAGTGACCATCGGATTATCAGTGTTGAAAGTAGGACTGGGCGATATAGCCAAAAATGTTATGACAATAAAAAATGTCATGACATTCGATATCAATTATTATCGCGATAAATGTCCAATCATTATTTCTTTCAAGTTTAAAGGCTGATTTTTGCTCCTGACTGAAAGTTGAAGAAACCATACGGTTAATTGTGGTTTTAATCCTTTCTTTAGGGTCAGAACACTTGATGTCCATTTTCTGCAACAACATAAATCTCTTAATAGAAAGATTAAGTGCTAATTCGTTCAGGATTCAAATGAATTAAATTAAAACTTTTTTTTTTATTTTATTGAGGAAATTTAAATTGTGATCATTATTATTATTGTTTTATTGGAAAAGGACAAAAGTTTAGACACCGACACCGATCGCCTTCATCTTCTGAAAGGAGCCTTTCACTGCTTTCATACTATCCAAACAGATTGTACAATAAGGGCTGCAGAGGCATTAGCACACAGTACTATGTTCTGATGTAAACAGGGTGTAGCATGTTGTGTACTGACCGGTGTAGAAGAGAAACTGGATGAAATACTTCTGGTTTAGCTCTCCGACACAGTTGTTGATCCTAAAACACACAGATTAGAGTAAATGGATGAGAAGATGATGCCTAAAGAAAGAAGGGTTTGGATGCACAACAAAGAGACAAGGTCTGAGAGATGGTGCAGGAGGTGAAAAGAGAGAAGCAGAAAATATTAAACAAAGAGGATGGATGGGTGGTGTTTTCTCACCAGGGACAGTGATGGTCCATGCGGCGTATACACCTCTGACAGACGCGGCAGTGATGCGCCCTGGGAGGTCTGTAGGTTTCACAGCGACTGCACACCGTCCAACCTTCACAGCCCTGTAAACAGCAGGACAACAGGTAACTACTACAACATCCACTCAGTCTGACGGATACTCAACCACAAGAAATCAAGTTTCAGCTTCACCTTTGACTTTATCGGCCATGTGACACATTCAGTGTGCACAGACTCTACACAACAAATACTGAACAAAAGGTGTTTGGACATTACAGACATCAAGTGGAACATCGTCCGACAATTGACGTCCCAAATTCACTTCTCTCCTTGAAAGACGGTTTAATTTTTTAAAATAAACAATCATTCCTCGTATTAAAACAGCTGTGACCACTGCATTAGACGACAAACAAAAACAGTCCTTTGCACAAAGATCTTGGATTAATTGCACAAAACATCATCTGAAAAACTAGCTTACTCTTTGTACACTGAATTTAATTCTGAAGCAGCACTTTTGCAGCTATCTGGAACAGGGACTCACTTTAACTTGACTTCCTCTTGTTGTAAACACTGTGCAGCTTCTCATTTTAGAATATATCTATATATTTCACATATTTTATTTGTTAATATCTATTTTATACTTATGACTCTGGACTACAGGACTTGTTTTTGTGTTACCTTATTTATTGTGACTGTTATGCACCACAACACCAAGTTGTGCAAATTCCTTGTTGGTGAAAATCTACTTGGCAATAAACCGGTTTCTGATTCTGATGGGAAAAAAAAAAAAACATATAGTGGGAATAGGCCATCACAATTTTCCGGAGCTCAAGCTAACTTCTTCACATTGCTTAGTTTGCTCGCCCGACAGTCAAAAATTCTAAAGATATTCAGTTGACAAAGATATAAAACCGAAAAAAGCAGCAAATTCTCACATTTAAGAAGCCAAAACTGGCAAATATTTGGCTTTTTGATATAAGTTTGATAAATGCTGCAGCACTACACTGGCATAAAATCCTCAACTTTGAGAAACCTTATAGCTGCAATTTTCATAATACCCGACCCGAATCAGAATCAGAAGGAGCTTTATTGCCAAGTAGTGTTTTACACATACCAGGAATTTGCTGTGGTGATAAGGTGCTACACGTAGACAAACATACAGTCAACATAAATAAATGTAGAAATATATAAATATGGAATGGAAGAACAACATTACAGATATATACATGTGCATTATTCTGGGTCTGTGCCGTGCAGAAGTAACGCAACGGAAGGGAATATTGTGTACATACAAATATATAAACTGACAACATAAAAATATACAACAACAACAAATATGTTCAACGTGCCAGGTCTGTGTATCACATGCAAGGGGGGAGAGTCAGTAGGGGACCCGGGCTTTGTTAACGGTAGACCCGTCTACCAACAATATAAACCCAGGCAACAGAAGAGATGTACGTTTACCATTTATAGTTTATCATTATTATTCAAATGTAAGATCGTGTTCGGCCCACAGAAGACCTCAACATAACTATTTTCTTGTTTTGAGTGCAGCTTTAGCGCAGACTCATACATCATTCCCATCACTTGGTCAAACAGTAAGCAACACCACCGATTTGAGACAGCACTTTGGACAGACTGACATTAAGCTCTTAAATACAAAGTGACAAGCCCAAAAGCAGACATAAGTGTAGCTGTTAAGATGTAACTACAGAGTCACCTTGAGATAAAGACATAGCTGTTAATAACACAGAATCAGAGAGAAGCTATAATCTCCCTGATCCTCCCTCTCTCTCAGCCGTCAGCCTCTTACCAACGTTGTTGTTGAATTCATGACAAAACAAAATGCCTCCAAGGTGGAAAAATCCACACAAAAAGCAACATGAAAAGACTTTTGAAAACAATGTAAAGTTGTTTTAAATGTTTGAACAATTATTACTTGACTCAGCGGTAAAATTATGGACTAAACTCTGTGTAATTAGTCAGAAAAGGGATTTTTACTTTGTGACTCACCCGCTCACTCATCCGAGACGACTGCGAGCGGAGGTCTGAGAAGTCTATGGCTGTGTCAGGAAGAGGCACCATGCCTGGATTACAGCAACACAAACGCACATTCAACATCGAAAATCATTTCATCAACCCATTTCCCTCTTGACTTAATAACCTGAGTAGTGAACACACACTCTGAGTTACTGACCAGGGTCTGAGAAGACAGCTTTGGCGTGGCAGGCCAGCAGCAGCAGCAGAATCAGGTTGAACACTGATCCATGTAGAGTACACCACACACTGTCAGAGAAAAAAGAAAGGGAGACTTAATACACAAAACACACACATTTTATTGTTCTGTTAAGTGTAAGGCTGCTACTAACAATACTTTCATTATCCATTAACCTGCCAATTATTTTCACGATTAATTGTTCGATTTGTAAAACCAGAAAAAGTTTTTAAAGAATTTACCCTCAACAATTACAAACAGAAAAATCCTGCTTTTACATGAATGCATGAGAAATATTATTCTAATAAATAATAGTATAGTACAGTCACAGGGGACAATTTTCTGCATAGAGTAATTTTACTTTTAATATATTTTCCTGATTATACTTACATACTTTTACTTACTTAAGATTTTCAATGCAGTATTTTTGTTTGTAACAGACTACTTTTACGTTATGGTATCTGCACCCTACTTTTACTTAAGTAAAGGATCTAAATACTTCGTCCACAATCGCTGGCCTGTGTCAACTAAAGAAACAGGTTAAACGACCGATTAGTATAAGAAATAAGCGAGTATAAATAGAAAAATAAAAAACATCAATAAACTATAACTGCGATATAAAATAAGTCACAGGAAGTGTCTTACAGTGTCTATGGTATCAAATGTAGCCTATTTCGTTTGTCACAGCAGCCAAACAGCTGACCGACTGTTCTGACGCGGGTCAAACGCCTCAGCAAGTAAACAAAGGAAAAAAGACGTTATCTGGTGTCAGATGTTGGTGTATCTGGTGGATACAAAAACACTGAATAAACATCCAATTAAATGTGTGTTGCTGAAAGTAAAAATAAGTTGTGTCTTGATTCAGCAGAGAGATAAAGCGTGAGGATGTTGTGACACCTGTCAAATGAATGGAGACAGCGCAGGGAAGCAGACGCCATGTCTCATTTCTAACGGTTTAAAAGACATAAAAACACAAAATACCGACCTGCCCGAGTAAGCGGGGATGAGGACATATTGTATGACCACGTAGTCCGCGTAAAACACGCTGAAATAAGTTAAAATCAGACAGATAACGCCGCAGGGGTCTCGCCTACAGCGCAGAGACGCCATCTTCTGCAGGGCTCCGCCCCCCATCCCCCGCTTCCGGGTGACATCACGATGAAACCTGATGCCGCCTTCCAGGACCGCAGGAAATAACAAATTATTCTTAAAGGGACAGTTCATCGACATGAAAAATGCATTTTTGTTTTTCTGGTTTATTATTATTAGGGTTGCGTATTGTTTTACAATGAAATCAAATCAGTTCTTCTGGCATACAACATAAACACCTAACACAGTATCAATTTAGTTGTAGAGTACTGGCAGGAGAAGTGATTTGATTGTGGATTTCTTCCAAGCAAAATGTCATTTTATTTTACTTAATTTAGACTGATGCATTTTATTATGTCATATTTGCATTTTGAAAGCACATAAAAGCAACCCGTGTTTTATTGATTCGACTTTTCAACTATTTTTTAAGATAGATAGATATACTTTTGGCATTCTGCATAAACACTTGAATTAACATTATTTACCTGGTGAGTTGTTGAAATATGTTAAGAAAATACACGTCTAACTTTCACATTTCTTTTTTTCTAATGTTGGAGTTTGAACTAACATGGTATCATTTGAGTTCTATAATACTGTCCGGAGAAGTGATTTGGAAATTTCTTCCAGGCAAAAATTTCACTTTTTTAAAATTTTTAAAATTTAGTTAGACAGATGTATTTTTATTTTTAAATTTTTGTAACTTTATATTATTTGCCTTTTAACTATTTTTTTCCTCTTGTTTCTAGCTATATAGATCTGTGGAACAAAAAACAACTTTGAGCCTCACATATATTTTATTGATTGGTGCCACCTTATTATTTTATTATATAATTTTGTTTTTACACACATTCTTTTTAGAAGTATGCAAAACAAAGCACCATATTTTCATTAATAATTCATTAATTAATTATTTTAAAAAACACCCAGATCCAGAGTCAGTTTGTCCGGGAACAAAAGTAGGAACAATATTTTCTTTTGTAAAATTTACAACCTTACGAGTCGCACCTGAAAGCAACTTTGAGCCACAAATACTTTTTCATACTTTTTATTTTTTAGATAGATAGATAGATAGATAGATAGAAAGATTGATAGATAGATAGATAGATAGATAGATAGATAGATAGATAGATAGATAGATAGATAGATAGATAGACAGAGCATACAAAGAACACAAGGTGGCAGTATATATGTGTAAAGCTGACATGTCCACACTGTCGCTCCTCCCTTGAAGTAGGCAGTGACCAGCTCGTCATCCTCGTTTGCTCAACACTTTGTTGCTGCAGACTCTCGCAGGACGTGTGTGTCAGGAGTTGGTTCATTTATTTTTCTACTGCAAACAAACCGCCTTTTCACTTGGATATATTTTATCACTTGTACTTCGAAGTTAAACCTCTTTTTTGGGGGGGGTGGGGAGTTTTTTAAAATTGTGTGGGGGAAACCTCGACGGGGAGATAAAACAAGAAAAGCAAGAGTCAAAAGAAGAAGACGTAAAGACACAAACCTGGAGGAGGAAAAGGGCGTTCATACTTCGAAGTAACCATGGAAGTTCCTGGTATGCAGGTAAGAAGAAAGGTGGACGTGGTGACTGGTTTGAAGGTTTGCTAGGTGTTTTTTAGCCGTCGTTACAAGCAAACTAAACTGCTTTATCAACAGAAGAGTCGATTTTGTGCATCTAGAGGCCATTTTCTATATATTTTAAAGTGATTACCTGGTGTTTATGTGATATATAACCTCAAGGGACTCATTATTAAAGTCAACCGTCTTCAGTCTCCGCACCCAGTGTCAAGAAACGACTCTCTAAAGAGTTCATAGTAGCTCATTGTGTTATCATAAAGTGACGTGTAATACTTTCTGTGGTACTCCTATATTGAGTTTTTTATTATTATTTATACCCTTACAATATTCTTATGGTGTGTGACTTTGGTACGCCATAGTGTTAATGTCTCCTAAATATCTGTAACATATCTGTAATATTCATACAGTGACTTATAATGTGACTTTAGTACTGCAAACAAGGTTTTTAGTGACATTATGTTGTTTTTATATCTTTAAATAACGTACCTTTTTATATATTGACTTATGGTGTGACATTAGCTACTCCACACTGGGTTTATAGTGACATTATTGTTAAATCAGAATCAGAAATAGTTTTTTGATCCCAAGGGGAAATTCTTGCCATTTAAATCTCTCTCTCTTACTTATAAGTCACAGTATAAATAAAGGGACTTAGCTACTCCACCCTGAGTTTATAGTGACATTATGTTATTTAAATCTCTTTAAATAACCCTATAATGTTTAGTGACTTCTGTACTCCATACTGACTTTAAAGGGACTTCATGGTGTTCATTTCTTTCAAGATATCCCTGTAATATTCCTATATTGACACATAATGTGTGACTTTGGTAATCCATAGTGTTAATGGCCTTAGAGATTAATATATTACTATAGTTACTTATAATGTGGCGTAGCTACGCCAAACTACAGTGATATTATGGTGTTTAAATCTCTGAATTGTGGCTTTTATAACTCTTATGATGTATAATATATTTATTAGTGGAGTATAATATGACTTTGTACTCCATGTTGACTTTACAGTGACTGTATGGCAATATTCCTGGAATATTCCTCTATTTCCCTGTTGTGTGTGTCCACTGACATTTTGGTGACCTTTTGGCACTTGAGGATCTTTATTATGTACGACATTTTTGAGTGAATGCATCACTGTGATGTTCATGTCATATTCTCACAGTGACTCATTGTGTCAGGGAGCTTACATTAGCCTTATTTATAGCTCATTATATCTTTATCTACTGTGGAAGGGTTATGACAGGGCAGCACTCGCTAGGTCCTAGGTGTGTCTGTGCCTATGTGATATCCCTATGATACTTGTTTAGTGACCTATATTGTGTTTGTTTTGCGCAACAGTGACTTTGCGGTTTGTTTAAGGTAAATCAGTCGACGGGCTGTGCTTCTGCTGGTTACCAAGGTGTGTGTTATAAGCGTGTTAAACCTTCCGCTCGGCTGTGTCTCAGGTGTGTCTACCTGTGGGACTGGCTGCCGGGCTTGTCGGATCACTTGCTTTGCCTGCTCTGGTCGTCCCAGATGGGCGGGGCAGGAGGTGATGTCACATGTTGTTTAAATCAACAGACAACACACCTGACACCTGGCAACAACTGCTGCAGCACAGAGCCTGACAGAAATGTGTGTTGTACCTGTGAAGAACACTTGTGAGAGAGAGAAAGTGGGATGTGTTGTGTAATGCTGAAAAAACCTGATTGGTCGACTAGCCGGAAGACATATTGCAGTTTTGATAGGTAATGATGAATTTCTTTAAGCAAAAAAAAATTAGCTCCTATTGATATATTTTCAGTTATTTTTCTCCTGACACTTTGGCCTCTGGTAGCTTAAAGTAGGGCTGGGCAATAAAACAATAATAATAATTAGCACAATATAATTTTCCCCAATAACAATATAACAAATGTTCAATAAATCATCAATAAATATTTGATTTAATTCATTTGAATCACAAACAAATTAGCACTTAATTTTTCTATTAAGATATTTATTTTGTTGAGGACAAGGGACTGAAAAAATATTTACTAATCATATTTTTTGAAAGAAGATTTTATCATTATACGTTTGAATGTTCTACCTCATGTTCTGACCATAAAAAAAAAAAAATCTGTTTTTTTTTTCCTTCAATTTTTACTCAGGAGCAAAAATCAGCCTTAGAGAAGAAATAATGATTCGACATTTATCGTGATAATTATCGATATCAAACGGTATGAATTTATCATGATAACATTTATGGCCATATCGCCCTAACTTAAAGCTACAATAATCAACATTTTTATATTAACAAAGGATCAAATTACTATATGTAATGTCAAAAGGGGCCACTCGCAGTGACAGGCCCACAGAGAGTTATTTCCCGACTTTGGAGTTCCCTTCAGCTTTACATAGCATTTTAGTGTCTTTCAGCTCATTGTTTTGGTTCACTCTTATCCCTCTCATAATATCGCTACGCTGTTTCCAGGGAAAAAGCTCTGATTGAATCCATTGTACACGACCTGCTCAGTAGCAAACAGCAGACGGACACAGTTAGGGACTAACTGATGGACATAGTGGAGCATTTAGCAGCTAAAGAGCAACATACTTTTCTCAGAACATCAAAAACCGAGCTAAAAGGAGAGCAAATAAGGGAATTGCATCCATCAGGTGCCCAGAAAAATGACTGTAAATGTCTGCTCAATGTTGCTGCCTGTTTGCTAGATATGTAAATATTAAAAGCAACAGTATGTTCTCCACATCAACTTAAAAGGAGATACGTCAGTGTTGTATTTACAGCTTCAGTGTAAACATAGCCTGTTAGCTTATACACTAATGAAAATAATCCGGGGGGGTTGCAGCCTTTAATGTTGTGTAAAAAAAGTCTCTGTCTAGTCGTATTGCGTTGGCTTAATGTAGAAGTTTGATAAAAGGATGAGGTTGAAAAGGTCAGGGAGAGATTTTAAGGTCCCTTGGTCACAGATGCGCATGAACTTTGAACCTGTGAACCACCAGGACACATCCATTTTTTTTCTTTTTCTAATCAGTAGATGACACTGAGCTGTTGTGAAATCCCATCACAGTGTTTTAGAAAGCCTGACCAAAGTCAGACAGCTGTTGCTTCTGTGGGCTCTTGGCTCATCACACATACTGAAAACTGTTTTTTCACATGCTTTTTGAAAGAAACATTGCATAATTCAGAACAATAAGCTTGATGCAATTTTGAAACCATGCCAATATCACACAAGTTGCCCAGCTGACACGGTTATTTACAGTGCTTTTACAGTCTGTTACAAATCATATGTTTTGTTGTTCAGCTGTAACATTTGCTGCCTCGGGCACATTTCTTTGTATCAACTCATTCAGAGGTTCCCACAGCAAGTTGTAGTTCAGGGCCGACACGTCTGGCCTGAAATACAGACCACCTCCGCCAGCGTCAGAAGAACGTATACAATTTTATGAACCCTTAGAGAGCAGAGGTGCTACA